CATCTTAGGGCACAGGAAATTATACCAAAATATATAAGAGGAAAAGAGATAGCTTTACTTTGATAAATTGTAAGTAAAGAGAGATATAGTTCAATTATTTTATTTAATTTATTAATTCATCTAAAATAAATTAAAAAAAATCATAATGATAATTAAAATATAAGAATTTGATATCACTCTTGATTAGTCATTAATTATATTTGGATTAAATGATGTAATTAGCTTAATGGCGCTGGTAATTAAGACATCGCTAATTTGCCGCGCTGGTGATTAAGGGCTAAAGCGCTGGTGATTAAGACATCGCTAATTTGCCGCGCTGGTAATTAAAAAGCAATTAAAAATGCACTAATTGCCCTACCTTACTACTTCCATTTTTTCTTGATATACTTTTGGTGACATTGATCTCGATAAATGATCTGCAATAATTAGTTCTTTTCCAGGTTTGTATTTGATTTCAATGTCATATTTTTGAAGTGACAGTAGCATACGTTGAAGACGAGCTGGACAATCATTTAGACTTTTCTTAAAAATGGGTATGAGTGGTTTATGGTCAGTTTCCACAGTAAATTTTTGTCCATATATGTATTGGTGAAATTTTTCCACTCCGAACTGCTAATAGTTCTTTCTCAATTTGTGCATATTTCGTTTGAGTAGATGTCATGGATTTTGATGCATATGCACAAGGTGACCCGTTCTGAATTAGCACCGCTCCTAAACCATTTTTGGATGCATCTACAGAAATTGTGACTGGAAGGTTTACGTTAAAAAATTATAAACAAGGAGGTTGCATCAAAAGATTCTTCAATTCTTGAAACGCTTTTTCTTGTTCTTCTTCCCATGCAAATGAATTATTTTCTTTTAAAAGTTATCTTAACAAATAAGTTTTTTCTGAAAGATTTTCAATGAATCTTCCTACATATGTAGTAAGTCCTAAAAATCTTTGAAGATCTTTCTTACATTTTGGTGATGGCATCTCTTTTAAGGCACTGAGTTTTTCTTCATCTATTTCAACCCCTCTGCCTGAAAATTTATAACCTAAATATGTAACTTCTTGTAGGCCAATTCGACATTTTTCTTTATTAAATTTGATGTTTTGTTCTTGTGCTATTTTTAACACAGCTTCTAAACGTTGGTCGTGTTGTTCTTTGGTTTTTCCGTGTATGAGAATGTCATCAATATAGACCTCTACTTCTTCCATTTGAAAAAGTTGTTGAAATTTTTCTTGAAAAACTTCACTCGCAGTAGTAATGCCAAAGGGCATACGTTTAAATTTGTAGCGGCCAAAAGGAGTTCCAAAAACACATAAATCACTACTTTTTTCATCAAGTGGAATATTCCAAAACCCAGTAGTTGCATCTAGTGTTGTAAAATATTTAGAATCCTTTAAATTTTTCATAATTTCGTCTATGACCGGAATTTTAAATTTTTGCTTCTTAATTGCTCTATTGAGATCTTTCGGATCTAGACAAATGCGAAGCGATCCATCTGATTTTTTGACTATTACAAATGAATTGAGCCAGTCTGTACTACCATGTACTTTTTCAATTATTTTATTATCTTCCAAATGTTTTAGATATTGTTTAAATTGTTCCTCAATTGCAAATGGGACTTTTCTTATTGGGTGCGAAACTGGTTGTGCATTTTCTTTTAATTCGATGCTATGCGGCTTTCCTAGCATGCCAATGCCTTCAAAAACCAAACTATACTTCGCTAACAAAGTTTGATAATGATTATTTAGGTTAACAAAATTTATACGATTTATTAAGCCTATCCTTTCAGACGTACTTAAACCTAAAATGTTTTACTATAAAATATTCAATTTCATAGTCATTGTTTTGAAATTTAGAAGTAATGATACATTTTCCTATTGTAGGTATCAGATTACCGTTATAATCATATAATTTATTCATACATTTTTTTTTATTATTGACAAACTTAGACCTAATTTATTAAATGTTTGTAATGACATAATGTTAACATCAGCTCCTGTGTCTACCTTAAATATTAAATTTATGTTGTGTATTTGTAAATTTACAGTCCATGAGTTGTTTTTATAGTTTACACTGTCAATGGAAAATTTTAATTTATTGTCATTTTCTTGTTCTATATTTACTTCATGCAAGGATTTACGTAATTTAGCTTTACAAACTACAGAAAAATGATTGAGCTTTTTACAGAAATTACAGGTTTTTTCATAAGCTGGGCAGTTATTAATTTTGTGTGATTTGCCACATTTATTGCAATTAGTCATGAAACGATCTTGCACTGACCTGTTGATTCTTGTTTCCACAGCTTGTTGATGACGTGTTACTTTTGGTGCAACTGTAGTCGTTGACCTTGGCTGCATTTTGTGTGAGAACGGAGTTCCTCGTTTTTGTTGTATTTCATGAACTTGTTTTTGCACATCTTGACTCTGTAATTTTGTATTTTCCCATAAAATACAGGCTTCGATTACGTCTTGTAGGTTTTTGTTTTGTTGGTATAGAAGTTTTTCCCGTAGTATTTCGTCTTGTATGCCTGATATTAATATCGTTTTTACCATGTCATCCTTTAGATTTCCAAATTCACACTTGTTTGCTTGATTCTTTAATTGTGTGGTGAACTGTTCAATGGATTCTTGTGGGGTCTGTCTGAGATTAACAAATTTATACCTTTCGTATGTTACATTTGTTTTAGGGATAAAATAATTATCAAATTTTTCCAGTAGAACGGCAATTTTGTTGCGTTCATTGTCTGCAATGGTGAAAGTATTATAGATGTGCAGGGCCTCTTCACCCATAAAGTGGAGTAGTTGGGCGCATTGAACTGCTTCCTCTTTCGTATTTGTTTCCGACGCAATTAGGTATGTTTGAAATCGTTGTTTCCAAATTTGCCAATTGACGGCCAAATTGTCGGTGAAATTCATCGGGGGAAGTGTTCTCTCCATTTTACTGTATTTTGCTTCTTTAATTTTGTTTAAATTGAAACAATTTGTCGCATGTGATGTCTGTTCAGTGTCAGAGTCAGGAGTATACTCAGTATCACAGAACAGTCAATATAGAGAAGCGCAGGCTCCATGTATTTCATTGGCAGCAGCAGTGACATTTCTCGACGGTCATGTTGCGATGTAAAAGTGTGGGAAATTCAAATAAATGCATGCTACGTGTATTGCCAGTTGCATACTCCAGCATCGTGTCATACGGATTGCCTACCACTACTTATTTGTTTTATTAATGGAAAGAAATAAAATTCATAAAATTTTACAAACGAAGTATATTAAACATTAAAAGACTAATGTACAATTCAAAAATTAACAATAAAATAAAAAAACAATTATGTTATAAACAAAAAATTAACAAAAACACAAACCTTCCACCATAGTACTTCTAGACGTCAAATGGGAGTACCAGATCCATTCAAGGGTTTCCATTTCCTCCAGGTTATTTTAAAGTAAAAGGTACTCACATTGAGTTCATTCCAAATACTTCGAAGTACGAAGTGATGTTTTGCAATGGTGTTGCCCCTGCTTCAAGCGCAAGCCTCAGTCCTGAAACATGGTTGTTATCAAACAATCAGCACATAATTATATTTTTATTACCTTTCACATAAATTCCACGGTCACTTGCGAGAATTAAAGCCGTGAAACACATTTTATTCCAAAACATCACACTGCATCGCACAACATTGACATATGTCAGTAAAAGACCGGGAAAAATCTGGAGCCCACAGCCACAGGCTGCATCTGCGCAGTGTGCTACTAGCCGCCCCTTGCCCCTCAAAATGCGATGCCGGCGTCCACAAGCTAAATGTCATTCATGTTGCCTATTCGGCAATACAACCTTCACCCCCGTGCTCAGTATACTGGTTTTATTCAGATATAAAGTATGGTTACATATGTACACAATAGGTAGGCAACACATCTTACATTAACTATATTACACATTTTCAAAATTAACAGTATGTAATATCCTCTAATAATAATAATTTTTCTGGTATAGAAATATAATTGTTATAGCTAACTCACTCCAGTTCACTGATGTTGGCACATCTGGCCCTTATGAGGTTTCCAGTATATTTTCAGAATGTAATATACATATATCTCCATTGTCAAAAGACTTATTGTTATGTATGAGAATTTAAATACAACTGTCCTCAACTTTCTGTATAATAAAGCAACAGTTTATATTTTAATTTTAGTGAAATTTTTGCACCATGTAACTTTAATAGCTATTTATTTCTAGTGTATCGAAAAACGGCCAAGTCCTGTAAAATATTGCTACGACTATACAATGATTTAATATGTACTGAAATGCACTATTCAACATTTGTTAAAAAGCCGTTGCTAGGAATGCTACAAAGTGACAAGATTAAAATTTTTCGAAATTTCGTCAAAAATTTTAATGCAAATGCAATCGTTGACATTCATTACACAATACATGAGGTGTGTAACCAACTTAACAATAATTATCTTATGTTCAGAGAAAAAAAAAAACACACAGTATATTACGATTTGTTTTGACGATTTTGATCCACATAACTTACTTGCGATGTGTAGAATTGGATTATTTTGCGAAAGAGACGACAACTGGGTTAATTTTTCACATTCTGACGTTTGTAAATCCAAGAAATTCGTTAAAAATTTTTAGAAATATTCTTTATGTTTGACTCAATCATACGATACCACTTATGACACTAGCAACTGTCCATAATCTACCACTTTATTGGACTGTACAGTAATTTGGACTGCCCACAATTCATTTGACTGTGAGAACGTCAGTGCCTACTAAACATTATTAACAATTTTAAAATCGAGGTAAAAAAATTGCAAAAGAAAATTCTTCTGTTGAGTCAACCATAAAGCTATGTATGTCACACGTAAATAATGCCTTTTATTGGACGTGCCCCTTTATTAGTGTCGCGAGCAAGCCTGCTCGGCCATGAAAGGGCGCGTCCAATAAAGCTGTGCATTAATTACTTGTAACATAAAATAGCTATTTCAAGCTCTTTCTTGTGTTTTCTAGCGTTTCCGGCACTCTACGGGCACGAAAATACCATGGAAACCATCAAATTTTGGCTAGAAATCTTACTTTGATCGAATTTTATAAGTTCTGAAGTATCTTACGACTTATTTTAGGGATTCTGATCGACATGACGTACTTGCAAAATTCAGAATCGACTTATTTTGCGAAAAAGAGAGGATTGGTATTATTTTCCACAATCTAGGTTTTGATGTAGGTTCAAGAAATTCTTTTCAAATTTTTCTTCCTCGAAGACAGGAAGGTCACGTCGGAGGAGGTGACCATCGAGACTTCTAGGGGATGCCTGTAGGGATCGTGTTTAGGGCCTATTCTCTGCCTACTGATCATGAAGGATTGGTTCCAGGAAATCGACCAAGTGGAAAGTTCGAGGGGGTCCAGTTGAAGGTGCAAGCGTACACCGATGGCCAGTTCATCATGATCCGACCAGAAACTAGAATACGACTACGATCTTTAGGGCGGCGAGAGTTGGGAGGAAGGCCAGGATACAGAAGAAACCGAGGATCGACATTCCAGATGAAGTATCTGACGGTTATCATCGACAAAGGTCTGTGTGGGTGGAGCATTCCAGGTACACAGTCGGAAAAATTTCAGGAGCAGCACACCGAGTGAGCTGGGAAGAATCTGGGGAACGGATCCGCGGACTCTCAGACAGATCTATGATAGATCGGTTAAACCCGCTGTGCTGTACGCTTCTGAAATCTGGGGACACCGCGGATCCAGGATCAGGAAGTGTCTGCATTTCCTGCTGGACGTCAGCAGAGGACGACGTCTAATGCTGCGTTAGCCGTGCTGGCGGGAAGCACACACCTGCAGAGGATCGAAGACGAGGGCGCCAAGGTCAAACTTTGGTGGTCCACGGACAGGATCTTCGGAATTGCTGAAACGGGAGAACGTTAAAGCGGGAGGCGCACAGGGCAGCCATGGCGAAATGGCACGAGGCGTGGACGTCAGAAGCCACAGGGTATCATTAAGAGAGACGGAAGGTTGAGCCCCCGGAGGCGTATGCCTGCTCATGGGGCATGGCCCATTCAAGAGCTCTTTTCGAAGATTTAACTTTAGACAAGGTTCACAGGAATCCGGATGTGGAGCGGAAGAACAGAAGAGGGCGAACCACGTCATGGGGGAGTGCCAAGGAGAAGAACGATAGAGAGCCAGGGAGAACTTTAGAAGATGGCAGCAAGAGGTAAGTGGAACGTTGTTTTTTTTTTTCAGGTTACCAAATCTTTGGGCAAGCGAGATTGGAATGGAAGACGAATTGGAGGACGGGCAGAAGGAGATCGAAAGAAGAAGCGAAAGTGGAACAGGAAGCCGGAGATGCCGAAGGAGACACGGTCGGGCAGGAAGAGGATGAGTAAGTAAGAACTTGGTAGGTTGCATGCATGCGGATGGATGCAAGAAGGAGAGAGAGAGATGAGTGAAAGAGGAGCTCTAGGGGGATGGGAAAATGGGGGAGGCTAAGAGTCTTCGGACGGGCAGGTCCCCGAACAGAATACCCCCAAAAAGCATCACCCAACGGGCCCGAAAGTACCAAGGAAACGGTAATCAAGTTTTATAAATCTAATTTTGGTCCAATTTTATGGGTATGAAGTATATTTCGATTTGTTTTGACAATTCTGATCGACATGACGTACTTGCAATATGCAGAATCGACTTATTCTACGAAAAGGAGATGATTCTAGAAATGTTGATTTTAATAAATGATAATTAATTACTTATTGTGTCTTTTATTTGTCCGTTCTCGTACAAAAAAGTATTTTATGGTGAATCGTCATAAGCATAAGTAAAGAACGTGTGTGCTTCGATAGTATACCTGTTATTTTCTTTATGAATGATAAAAAAAATTACTGAATACATGGTTATGCGATGTTACAAGAATGCAAATGAACGTTGAAGTAGGAATTTAAATTAATGCCTTTCGTAAAAAATAAAATTTTCACTTACGTTAATTGAAACGAAGAAGAAAACCACCTGTTGATGCACAAACGCACTTCACAGATAGATTAATCATTTAATTTGATCCATAAAACAATTGCAGAAATATAATCCGTGTTTGCTTCGAATTAATGAATTAGGCCCCGAATAATTAAGTATTAATTCACACCAACGCAACGTAAACACGTGCCCGTATTTCTTGGATTAAAATATGAACTGTCGAACATCTTGCATTTTATGTTGATTAAGCGCTGCTTTTTTCCACTGGACAGGGATGTATTCAGGAAAATTTAAATAAACAGTCATCGCTTGTGTTTAATAGATGGTTTACCATAAACAATTTATTTTTGCAAAAAATGCATGCCTACAGACCAATGTCAAAACTTGTGTAAAAAAATCACTTATGGGCCTGATTATTGTTTAAATTGAAAAAAAAACTTATTCTAAAACGATAAAAGGTAGGAGGTTCGTGCAGAACAAAAAAATTGGTCGAAAGTTGTTTCGGCAGCACTTCCCTCGCTCCTGAAGTACAATGAAACATGTCCAGCATTTTCGAGTTGAGTTTTTTCTATACGCAATTTTGTGATGACTTCAACAGCATTTTTGAAAGGACACATATATCAGCTTGGATTGGTGCAGTGTAATACTAAAAATAACAGTATTGTATTTCCAAAATTTTCTGGGAAAAAAATTTATTAATTTGTTGCCACCTGTTTAAGCAGATCTAAAACATGCAGTGATAAAACAGAAGTGAAACCTCATCATATGCACACTTTGGGTAGAATGTATTCGGCAAAATTTTGAGATGACGTCATCCATTTTTTGGTGGGAATAAACAGATATATTGTGATTAATAATTTACCATGTTTACAATGAGTTTAAAACGTCTGCAAGATTTCAAAGTATTCAGTTTTGCAATTCTTGATTTATTCAATATAATAAATTGACTGATTCATTAATTGTTTTGAGTCACTCTATTTAAGTAAATATAAAAAATATAAATGCAATGGTAAATTATAAGTATAGACTTATAATATTTTGCACAATTTAGATGACATCATCGATTTTTTGGGGTTGATAAACAGATACATTTTGCTTTAAAAGTTACCATGCTTACAATAACTTCAAAACGTTTGCAAGATTTCAAAGTACATATTCAGTTTTGCAATTCTTGATTAATTTGCTAGAATTTTTGGATTCATAAATTTCTTCTCCCGAACTTTTGCATCCTATTCAGAGCGCCAAATTTTGTGGCCACTTTGAGTGAATTTGATATCCGGGTTGAACAATTCTAGGGTAGAATTGCGGGGAGTGAGTAAAAGCCAATAAAGCTTAATATTGATTTATTCGTAACAACCTAACCTATTTATACAAAACTACATATTTACAATGTATGTGTTTCTAAACTAACGGTAATACAATTGAATATGAAAATATATGGCGTCCCAGTATCTGGTGTTTCCTTTTGTTTTGGTGCCGCTATCTTCGTAAAACTGACGATGTTGCTGTTGCGGTGGTCGTAATGCTGATGCTTGCAATACCGATGTTTTCACGTTCAGCAGTCGCGTCGTTTCCTTGACCTCATTATTAGTTGCGTAAAGAGGAAGTTGAAATTTTAAAAAATTATTGCTTAAATTTAGGATTTAAACATTTTTGATCTCTCGAAGTGGACAAGGGTAATGGGGTTTGTAGAAAGTTGCACTGAGAACGCAACAAGATGGATTGGTAGTTACTTAGGGTACTGTCAGTGAGTAAATCACCTCGATACCCTCTTCTTGAGATCGTGTTTGTGTTCGCTGTTTTTTTCGAGGACGAAGACTCATGTTGCCCAGACTGCAGCAGTGATCGTTGTTAGAACGATGCTTCTGGTGATGACGTTCGGACTGTACTTGTTCTTCTGCCTTTTCTGATTCTTTTGGTGTGTTGAGCGTGGACCATGGCTTCTTTTATTGAATTTTTAGTGGAGCCAAATTTGCCACCACCGACCGAGACTATTTGGGTGTGACTCAAACTGATGTTGTTTTTCGGAGTGTCAGTGGATTTTGTTTTGGTCTTGAATTGGTGACTGGTCGAGCAGTTTTCCCAATTTTTTCGATGGGTGTGGTGTCTGTCAGCTCAATGCAGTGTTCTGCATACGGTGTAGGCTCTTCATTCACCTGGAGCCTATCTGAGTAGACATTTAGCAGTCCATTCAGTTGTGACCTTTCACTTGCACTGAGGTCAATGCCCTCATCTGGCCGAAGGGGTTGTACGACCGCGCTGCAAACTTGAACTCCCTCCATGATGGTGGCTTCATCGAAAAGATCTTTCCACCCTTCGTCTTCCCTGAAACGCCAGTTCATTTTGGGAAAGTCCAGGATGACATCGGCTTGATTGATAAAGTCCATCCCCAGTAGTGTTTTGCTTTGTCTGTGTTCTGGCACAGCAGCAATGGTGGTCTGTATCTGCCTCCCATGTAATTCGATGGCCACGTCGAAAACTTCTGTAGCCACCTCAATCGGGTTCCCATCCGCCATCCTGAGGACTTGGACAACGCTCTGGAAGGGGACAGCGGAACTTTTCATGTGATTGTACAGCTTATTACCTGCTATGCTGCGTTTTGCGCCGGAATCGACGATTGCTACTCCAGATTTGTCAGATATGATGCCCTACGAGCTTGGTAATCGACGTCCAGAGACAAAGCCTCGAAACCATTGTTGGTCGTCGTCTGAATTCGAGAACTTTGACCATTCGGACACTGCGACCTGATGTGGCCAGGATTGCGGCACCGGTAGCAAATCAGCTGGTCACTGGGTCGATTCATCCTGTCTGGAGAGACCCTTGTGGGCCTCGGGCCTGACTCAGCTTTATTTGTAGCTGCTAACTTCCGACACTCGAATTGGGTGTGACCTGTAGCCTTGCAGTAGTAGCATCTGGGCTTGTTTCGACGTGGTGTCTCATCCTCCAAACCTCCCCTTGATTCGTTATTCACATCTTCGATCTGCCGGGCCTTGCTGATGAGCTGCCCAAAAGTACCAACTTGATCTCTTGGTATTGCCTTCCTAATTGACTGGTGGAGCAAACCATAGACCATATCAATCTGATGTATGTCATCACGGACCGGGGTTGCGGACAGTTTTAACAGCAAAGCGCGAGCATGGCTGACGAAGACGTCCGTGGGCTCCCTTTCCCACTGCTCGGTTGAGAACAGTTCGCGGAAAATCCTATAATTAGGCTTCTGCTCCTTAAAGCTCCTTCGAAGCGCTTCGACTGCTCCTTGCCAAGACCTGACCGAAGCCTTGCAGCCCTGGCACCATGTTGCGGCTGCCCCATCAAGCAGCATTGGCAGTCCCTTTAACGCGTTTTCCTCACTGACATTCACACAGTCCTTGTACACCGTTATATAGCATCGATGAATGCGTCTACCGATTCCCCTTTTGCAACCGAAAATCTTGACTTGCATTCAGAAAAGTTACCCGTTGTGGCGTTACTGTCATCCTCAGAGTATCCCGCTGACGGTGTTGGTCTCGACTCCTTCAGTGATGACGTGATACCTTCTGAGGATTGCTGGAGCTGCTCGGGGAAAAACACGAGGTTCGTCATTTTACCGTCTACTGGGGCCGAAGTTGCTGCGATTTCTTTGCTTCTGTTCCTCAGGTTGTAGCGCTTCGCCGTCGTACCCTGCGAAATAAAGTCCCCAAAGTCACTGGTTTGAGTCTACGTTCACACCGGCGTGTATACGTAAAAGCGCGACCGATGAGCACTTTTTAATGTGGCCGACGTCACAGAACCAAAGTCACTAGGGTCGCGTCCGAATTCCCCAAACCCGGATGCGTGCACGCGTGATGCTTCTGACGTCAAAAGATGGCGGACAACCAAAATGTCCACAATGGCTACTTCTTTGGGAATTTTCTCCTTTTCAGCTTCTCTGTCTTCTAAGACTTCTACACGTTTGCTTAGGAGATGTAGGCGTACCAGTGCTTCTTCCCTCCGCGTTTCTTTTCGCGTCCTTCCGTCGTATTGGCAGCGTGAAGACCCAACTCCAGTGCTTCACTTTCACTTCCAAGTTACCGAAACTGTTATCACGTGGTTGCTTTTCGAGCCCGAGTTGGAGCGCCAGTTGCTACGCGACGATTACTTTTTTCACCACGACCAAGAAAGTACTTTTCTTTCTACGAAAACTTTATTCACAAAACTGATAATAAATGTATAAAACTTTAAAATAATATGAACACAATGTAAAACACGGCCGTCCGCGTCCGCGACTCAGGGAAGAAGAAAGTACGAGGGTGGTTCCGCCAGTGGGGTGGTTCTCTAGTAGCGGCCTCGCGTTACAAGTTTGCTTTTGTAACTCATTTTAAATACCTGAATTAATGTTTTATTTTTTGTTAAATGCGACTTGCTTTAATTTGATCACTATTTTTTTGCGATAACTTACAATTAGTGGGCGTAACTATAGATCGTTTATTTATTTAATCATTTTTTTGTTTGTTACACAAAATATTTGTTTCTATAATGTTTTGTTTAATGTTTTTTTTTAAATACGAGTATCTATTTTTTTGATGTATGCTTTTTCGTTGAGCAAATATTTTTTCATCCAGTTTTTTAACCTAAACTAAGATTTTTATAACCTAATTCGTCAATTTTGGGACCTAAAAATGTCTCCTTTTTTTTTCATTTTTTTAACGACCTAAAATCCGAAGCCTAGTCATCATGTAATTTCATCAGCTTTTGTACTGATTCTTATTGTATTCTTGGCTGATCCAAAAGTTTATAGTAATTTACTTACGGTGAGCCTTGTGTTGTTAAATCTTTTAGCCAACAGCTCCCATGCTGTTTCGTAATTATTTTCAGTTATCTGGAGATGTTGGATGATTCTACTGGGCTCATTTAAATACTGCATTTTTTCAATCTTGGAGAGCGATGTGTTGTTGTGGATGACTTTTTTGAATAAATCGTGGAAAGTGGACCAATCTACATATTGTCCGCTAAACATTGGAAGCTTAATTTGGGATAGTTGGATGTTCGGTTTCTCATGTTGATGCTATCTCGTCGGCAAAATATTTTTCTTCGAAATCAGCTTCATGGACATAGATTTCTTCATGCAGTTCTACACTGACCTTGGATTTTTTCGGATAGAAGTTCATACCTGGCTCGGTTGTAGCCCTGAGCTAAATTGCTGTTTATCTTGGTCAGCTCGGTGGAGCTTTTTTGCAGTCTGAACAATTGACGTCAGATGCGGGCTTCTTGCTCCGGGTTGACGTCGGATGACGTCTGAATTGAGTCGAGGTATTTCTTTGCATATTCGTGCAACGCTTCTAATTGATCGAAATATTTCACTTCGAAATACTTGTGGGTAGTTCTGAGGGTGGGGCTCAGTATCTTCAGTTCTTCATAATTTCGTTGAACTTCATGCCAATATTCTTGGAGTTGTTCTGTCCTTTTGGATTGCCAATTTTGGGTTTTTCTTTTTGCGGAATCTTTTCTCGCGTTAATTAGGAGGGCTTGAATTTTCTTCCCCAAATCCTTTTGTTCTTTGGCTTTCTTGTTGAATTCTTCCCCAAATCCTCTTGCTCTTTGGCTTTCTTGTGGAATTCTTCCATTCTGTGAAGGCGTGCGGGGTATAAAAGGCACCGCCGACCGAAAATGGTGCTTGTGTAAGGATGGTACCACCGAACTGCAGCCTCACAGCCTGAAATTGTAGACTTGGAAATGGTGTCTATGTTAAGGAAGATGCCACTGGACTGCAATCTCACAGCCCTAGTTTTTAGACTTGGAAGGTGGCACCTGGTTCAGTAATGTCTCGAAGGACCATGTACAACTCTGGGGTAGAATTGTGGGGAGTGAGTAAAAGTCATTAAAGCTTAATACTGATTTATTCAAAACAACCTAACTTAATTATACAAAACTAAATATTTACCATGTATGAGTGTTCCTAAACTAAACGTAATAGTGAATATAAAGTATATATATGGCGTCCCAGTTTCTAGTGTTTTCTTTTGTTGTGATGGCGCTGTCTTCGTAAAGCTGAGGATGCTGCTGTTGGGGTGATCAGCGTTTCGTAATGCTGGTGCTAGCAATACCGATGTTTTCCCGTTCTGCAGTCGCGTCGTTTTCTTGACCTGATTATTGGTTGCGTAAAGACTAAAGAGGAACTTGCAATTTAAAAAAATTATTTTTTAAATTTAGGATTTAAACATTTTTATGTGATTCCAATGTCCGAGATTTTAGCCCATGGTCGTCGCAAAAACTGCCCTTTGGATCCAGAACTTGTGAACGACTGCTCCGGAAAGTAAGAAGGAATTTAAAATGAAGTTTTCCATCTGTCTTTACATTGTAACATATTTATTTTGCAGGACAATCACACATTCGAGGAAGTTTACTCATAGTTGCACGTAAAAATCTCGACTTCCAAGAAATTACTTCAATATATTTTCTGAATAGTGTAGTATAAGTACAAGATTGTAACATCAAAGACATAAATATGTAATATTACATGAATATGCGCATACCGTCCACCTAGTAAAAATTTTGTCTGTTTATGTGAGTCTTTTTTCAATCTTAAAAGTGACGTCTGAGATATGCAGGAACATGATGGTGGCAGCGACGGCTGATCTAAATGTCAAACCACAGTTGTAATAAAATAACATGGTTCCTTAGTTAATTGTGTACTTACAAATCTGCTCAAAAAATCTTCTGAGTGTAATCGAAAAATGTCTGTGATATCCTTTACTTGCGATGTTTCATATATTGTAGCGGACCGACTACAGGAACGAACAGCTTCAACTATCCTTTCCCGAATCCACGTCGAGTCAACACGTACGAACGTAAATATCTAAATATATGATCATTAAACTGTCATCTGGCTGCTACCTCGCGCAACAGTTAATAGCAGTACTCATTAACTGCTGGAATTTTTTCTACTGGACAGAAAAGTTCCACTAGGTACTCCAAAAGGTAGGTGAAAAAAAAAACAGAAAATTATACGTACATAACGCTCTTAAATATTTATTATTCTAATATTCCTAAATAAATACAAAATTCTAAATCCACAACGCTAATGCAAAACAATACATGGAACTGCTTATTGTAACCTATTAATGGAGCTGACAAAGCTAAATCCTAATGTTTAATATCTCTGCAACATATTTGACACAGTAAAATAAAAATTTTGCACAAAATTAAGCAACAAGTTTAGAGATTAAATACAAAAGTTGATAAAAGTCATACAGGGAGGATAGTGATAGTGATGACTGCTCCTATCTCGCTTTTTATTAGTGATACCCCAAATTATTTACCTCATAGTTTTCTTAGTTTGCAGATATTTTTGAGGTTGTTTAGTTTAATTTATCCTCTTGTTCTATGACTAATTTATTACGTATCTATGTACATGTATATGAACACGTTCTGTTATTTTGTTCCACAAAGAAATAACATCTTTTTCGTTCAACGTTATGTTCTTTTTCCTAAAAGTTGAGGAGAAAGTTGTGTCAGTCTGACAAATGAATGTATAAAATATTCTAACACATAACCAAGAAACAAAGTTAATGGAAAATTTGTACTATTCTCGACAATACGTTTAATTCCTTTTCAAATATCTCTTTTAAATCACGTTTTACAACCACACGTTGTTTAAACCCTTTATTCACAAGATCTTTTATAGTGTCTATAATATTTACAAGATTTCGTTCAGACAAATCATCAAAAACATCCCACAGAAACATAATTTTATGCTCCTTTAAAGAAAATGCCATGAATTTTCGTTCAAGTTCCGTTAAGTTGTGTCCGTTATTTTCCGTAACATAGTTTATTAAATTTTCAGCGTTTGTGTAACCTTTAAATTCTTCGTATTGTTTTGCGTTTATCAAAGTTACCCACATAATCGAACGACAAAGATAACATTCTTTCAAGACACTTTCTTTCTCGTCAGTAGTGTTACAAATGACTAAAATAATATCCACATCATTCCCGATACAACGGACATCTTCTAGAAAATACTGTTCTAGCTGAAACTTCTGCAAATCATTTACGTCGTTCGTGCTTTGTACCCACTCGAGACACTCGTCACTGTCAAACCGAAAATAGTGCCAAACAATTTTTGAAGAATACTTTGAGCAAAAGTCGCTGAAATGTCCCTTGGACATATTCTGTGTACTGACATATACAGCTTTGTCCAAAATCTCTGCCCTGCCTGAACTGCTTATCGTAGAATCATCCAACATATCGACTTTTACCATTTTAAAGTCACCGCAGAATTTTTTTAATTTCTTCGCATTACTCATACAATACACGACAACTGCGGTATCCTTGGTAAACTCGTTTAGAAATCGACAATGTATGATGGGCCTAGAAATTTTTAAATTACTACATCCTATGAAACTCGTTTTCGTTTCTCCTGATGCTAACGGATAATCTACCATGTGAAGAAGCTCATTTGTAGTTATAATATTATCAAGCTCGTCACATTCTTGAATCACATCATACAAACTTGCCTCTTTGTTTTGAATCAAACATTTAAATTTTTGCACAACGTCTCCATACGCATCCGGTTCAAATATTTTTAAATCAGCTAAGGTGAAAAATTTTCTTTGCTCAAAAATTAAACTTAGCGGATTGATTACTATAAACGTCGACCGAATAAGCCAAAACGCTGCAAAGACTGCTTTTGTTTGTCCATTAACAATAAGAGGACACTTTCCCATCAACCATAGCAATTTAGTAGCTTCTTCATCCTTGTCATCTAGATCTTCAACTTTTGCAATGTTTTGAAACATAATTTGATACCTTGTTCTCATTCTATTAAGTTTCTTTAAATTTCTAAGTTCGGCTTTAGCATCTCGCCAAAGTGACGTTACCTCATCACAACTCTCTTCTGCAAAAACAGTAACGTCAAACTTTGATATAGTTTCTCGGAGTAGTTTGGTATTTTCACTTACTGGTTTAGAAGAAAACGATATCGATTTGATAAAAGGAGATACAATGAAGAGAGCAGCTGCTCTTTCTAGTATGCTGTTACTCAATTTTTCTTTTTTTCCTTCGATTTTGTCCCATTTGTAAATGAAGTTAACAAAGTTGTTATAACTTGTATCGTCTGTGTATAATCTATATTTAAATTTCTCCGATGCTTCTTGTTGTAGTTTCTTCAAATTAAATTCCCCTGAATACAAAAACAGCGTAAAAGTTCGATTAGACTTTCGGATTTCGATTTTGTGGCCTTCATGAAGCCCATAACAATTTGCGATGCGCCAGTTTTGCCTGTGCTTCCAAACTGTCACGTCTGTTTCAAGATCAAGAACAATTTTTTGTCCATTATTAGCTGAAAAAGTGGCATCTGTATACAAAATAGCATTTGTATCTTCAGGGAGATGTTTTAATTGGTCTACGAATTTTAAAATGGTGAACTCTCCATTTTCAGTTGTAAGGTCTTTAACTCTTAGTGCTTTTCGTCCGTTAGTAAATTGGAATTTTATGGCATAGATTTCCTTTTTGGGTTTGTCGTCTTCTTTCATTTCGATTATGACGTCGTCAAAGGGAATAAATTCCTGATCATGCGACGATATACAGTAAATTATGTCGGCATACAGTTTTAGTTTCCAAATCAAATTCGATATATAAAAGTGTTCATAATCTACACTTTTGTGGATAACATCAGATTTTTTAATAAAAACCTGAAAGAAGTTATAATTTAATAAACGAAAAAAAAATAAATGAATTCTCACTGGTGAAAAGATTCCAGAACGTTTATCTTCACTGTAGTAGGCGTTCGTGTCTTCCGTCATCTGGAATAAAAAATACATATAATTTGAACACAAAAACAAGAAAACATTAGGTATGATAAAGTATAAATTCCAGTGTATCACCTACAGTTTGAAGATTGGAATATTTATTTGTGTAAATGCCTTAATACTAACGACAAACTATTTTTTTTTTTTAATAAAAGCTTCGCAAAAGAATATGATTTATTTACAGCATTCAACAAACAATGAATGCCAAAAGCCACGCCTATAGTAATTACAGAAAAAAACGAAACGTCAACAAAATGGAAGTTTAGAATGAGGTCTATGATGTCATCAGAAGAGAAATAGTGTTCCTCCAAATATGTGGTTAAATAAATGTAGTCATCAAAGGCAACTTAATTTTTTTTTAGTCTTTAACTTGATTTTTAATCGTTTGCGATCAGATCCGGTTCACCTGTGAATTGTTGAAAATTTTAATAATTTTTTCAGTCTATCTACTAATGTCAGCATCAGTACTGAATGAAAAGAACAGAAATTATAATATCAAAACCATGAGTTAACATGTTTCAGTAATCTATTCAGTTTCTTGGTTTCTTCATGATGTTTGTGTAACTATCAAATTAATTAAGAGCAACGCCATTACCAAAATTGAATGAAAGATGTTCCCTTTCAGTGGTGATTTTGACTTCCTATACTCTTCCCGCTCCACCTTGCGCCACATTGCATCAGAACACATTCCGCCATTTCAAAACACAACGCAGGGTCCTATCTTGTTGACGATCACAGTTCATGGCCACTTTTCGAATTTTTCGCGGGTTTGCCAAATTTTGTGCGCATGTCTCAAATTTTGGCGGAATGTTTGGGTTATTACAAAGTAAAAGCCGCTATTGCTAGAATTCCAGTTAGGATTTGGAACAAGCTAAAGCAGGTCAGGTACAACCAAGTATGATGTAACTGATGACATTCTCAAATAAATAGGTAATTTCAAAAAATTATGTAACTCAGCTATTAAACAAGCAAAAGTGATACGTATGTGAATGAAAATAGGAACAATCCTAAGTTACAAACAGAATGAGGGTAACCTATCATCAGCAACTAACAATTTTGTCATTACAAAATTATTCCATTGATATAAAATCCAAATAGAGACTGCAAAAAATACAAAATTCTTGCTGCAGAATCATCTTTAATTTGAAAAAGTATGACATGTAACCCAAACGTCAAAAACTTAGGTGGTTGAAAATTAGTCACGTTTTTAAATGTCATTTATCAATTTTTATTTTCAAATTGTTTGTTACTTCTGCACCATTTTATTTGAGAGAGAAAGGACCCTGTACACAATGTTACGATATGTCGTGCTCATGCCAGCCTTCAAAACCGATTATTTTAAAAGTCGTTTACTTTTTACTGTAGGTCCCAAACTATACAACTTTTTTTTTCAGAAATAATTTAACCTTGAATAGCTTCCGTCTCAAAATAAAGAGACTTTTTTCTGACTTCGCCATAAGTTTTGAGACTTGTTTATTTTATTTTATAAATCTTCCACGTTGATTTTGTAAGGATATTGTATGTATATGTATTGTTTGAATTTTTGAAAGGTTAAATGCGAGTAATGGAATAGAATCAGTTAGAATTATTATTTTTAGCTTGCCCCGAATCAATTCATATAATGAAAAAATGCATTGACTTTGAAGAGATTCCCTTGGCAGTTTAAAAACACTCATTCACCCAATATATACCGTGAGGTTTTTTTCTTATTTCTTATTATTATTATTATTGTTAAATTTAGCTAATAAATGTTAAGTTGGTTGCATACCTGCTTATAATAGATTGACTTGGACTTTTAAAAACTGAACATAAAATCTAATCGAGATTTAGGATATGTCAAAGGTATTGCCATTGACATTTGACACTACTGTCTTCATGTTAAGGTATTGTAATAAGTACAAGTTTAAAGAACAGAAAATTTACGTTTTTGACCTTTTTAAATTTCGGCAAACATTCTACTGTAAATGTCATCGTTGACATGGCCTACTCCTCAATTATTACAAATCTTATGTGATCTTATGTTCAGTTTTTAAAAGTTCAAATCAATCCATTGGATTCAAATAATAATATCTTAATTTTCCCTCTTACTAAACCTCCTAATCATTCTTTGAGAAAATGCATGTTTCCTGACTATCGCGTGCTTTCGACTGCGTTTCTCATGATAAATAAATAAATAAATGATTTATTATTTAACAAATACACGTATCCCGTAATATGACAAATATTAATCTCCTCTAACACAATTATTAACATTGGGGAGAAAATTAAAGATCAAGATAATACAAAGTGGAGTCCCCCTGTCGTCTTGCGCGATAGCAAGACATGGGCAAAAGTCCAAATTGCTTCCATGCAGATTCTTTTAATTCTGTAGTGTTAACTGGAGTCAAACTATTTATTTCCACAATGTTATGACGTCAAATCAAAATTGTACATGGCAAATGGGTTTTAAATTATATAAAATAACATAATCCTGCCCCTGTAGTTTATTAATTCGTGTTGAGTTTTCATCTGAGACGTCCAGATTAAAAAAAAAATCAAAATTATATAACAACATTTTGTAATTTAATTTTGAATCTGCAAAACCGAATGCTTTGAAAACGTGCAGATGTTTTAAAGTTGTCATAAACATGGTAAATTTTTAACCAAAATATATTTGCTTGTCATCATAAAAACTTGATGACGTCGCCTCAAAATTTTGCCAAATAGATCCGATCTAAAATGTGCAAAAAATGAGTCTATACTTGTGTTTTAACATTCCATTCATATTTTTCAGAATTGCTTGTACAGGGTAACTCAAAAAAAAATATGAATGAGTATGATTTTGTAAAGGAAAAACTCATTTGAAACATACGCGTAGCATGCTAATTTACATTTACTTTAACATTACATTCACGTCCTTATATTAACTTATAGATAAAATTAAAACTGGATAAGTTTTACTGTACTTCAGGGGCGATGGAAGTTCTGTCGAAGTAACATTCGACTATTTTTTTATTAACTGAAAACGAAATAAATTTCGGGTGTTCAGTTGAAAAAGTCATCAAGTTGGACTTGATTTTTGTGATCATTGTGGAGTATGTCTACACCTAGGTAAACCTAAAATTTAAACGAAGATAGTTGACAACGAGGAAATCTCAATTATGCACAGTTTGAATTTATGAAACGTTTTTCTTCTGCAAAAAAACAAAGTCAACTTGATAACTTTTTCAATTAAACATTCGTCATCGAAGTGTCGTATATTATCGTAACAGTAACTTAACGATCGTTCAAAATTCGTTAATAAAAATATACATTGCAATTTAGAAAAATATAGTTTTGCGTCGCGACACCGACGCCATATGTATATTTAAATTAAGCTTTTCCCTTCGAACTAAAAACAATGGCGTTTACAGAATTTCAATTTCTCTATGGGTAATATATAAGGCAACAGAGTTTTAATTGGAGCACCTGTATATGCACCTATATATGTATAAAAAACTGACTAACCCTCCAATAGAATAAACTAGGAGCCGCTATTGAGTATTGTTTTATTATTATTGCTATTGTGATAACCCAAACTTTCCGCCTTTAAATTGACCTTGAAAAAGTTTGAAAGGCCTGCGAAAAAGTCAAAAATTCAAAGTTTGGCCTTGGCTGTGATCGTCTAACAAATAAGAACCTACGTTGTGTTTTTTTTTGTTTTTGAAAATTGGCGGGAAAACGTTCTTTCATACAAGTGTGTTCCTTATTTAGAGGTGATTTTGTATTTTTTCGAATTAATTTGGTCTCACCCTCCAAAAAGTTTACATTTGAAATAGACAGTACACATAAAATTTTTTAACCCATTCCCTTTATCCCTTCCCGTGCCGCCATGAACTTGAATTTTCAAACATTCAAACCTGCATAATATGCAGTAGGTGTTGAGTACAAACTTCAAATAATTCTACTTTTTGTGTTATGTGTAGCATGTTAGCGATTACAAAAAATTCTAATGGCATCCCGAGGCTTATACAAAGTATATTTGGTAGGAATAGTAGAGACTCAAATATTTGGCTCAAAACTTCCTACGAATAAACAAGTGTTATCAGTTTTTATAATTTGAGAGAAGTTAAGTTAAGTACAAGAGAGAGTGCAAGTTTAGCGGTGCGTGAAGCAATAATTTTTTGGGAAAAAGTGACGATACCAACAAGAGCGTTATATCATTGTGTCGATAAACTTTTAAAATTGTATTCAGTTCCCACTGAATCTTATTCAAAGCCTGCACACCTTGTGCAGATAGCGCGATACATTCCGCTACCTCGACTAGGAACCGCGCCCGTCGCCGACACTACGTGTTATTGTGTTATTTACCTTCAATTCTATTTAAAGGTTCAAACTCTATGACTCCAATATTAAATTACAACCGAACAAGTGTTAAAGTTTTTCAACAAAGAGCAATACACAACATTTAAATTCGCCATACACTCTTACGAAAATTCAAACAACAAATAATTCTTAATTGAGATTAAATTTGGACATCAGATAATTTATATGACAGAAACATTCATCAACAAAAATATTTAAATGATCAAAACTTGGCAAAGATTTATAAAACAAAGATCTGGTATGAAAGAAACTTGTGCAAATAAAATATTACGTGAGGTTAGAATTACAGAGCATGGAATTTTACGTTCAATTAAAATTATACAACAAGGAAAATTACTGAGGCTAAAATTGTGAGACAAAGAAAAATTGTGTGAAGTGAAACATTGCAAAGTTAACAGATTTACATGAGATTAATAATAGTTCGTGTCCAGTCAAGTTATTGGTTAAAATTCAAAACGTGAAATTATTTAGCTACATTGTGGGCCATTATTATACATTTCCCCAAACAAACACATAAACAAAAAACATGGCAGACAATCTGCAGGTACAAAATGGCGTCGGACGAATGCGTCATTCCAAAAAATAGGCGTGGAAAATATGCGATGCAAAAATGCGATGAATCCTGTGGCGTTGTGTAAACAATGGGCTAAATCAAAGCAATAAAATGCACCCCACAATGTTGTTAATTTGTTCAATGATATTCTCCAGTTAAAACATGTGCTCAGTAAAAAAAAAAAGAAACAAAATGGACGCTTGCAAAATGGCTACTGTCTGAACAAAGAACGGTGAAAATAACAACTCATTTGCCGCCATCCAAAATACCAATTCACAAATATAGCTAAATAAAGCATGGTCCGAACTAAAAATCACTTCCTGTAAAGCCCTACTACGTCGGATTTTAAACGAAAGATAAAAAAAAACGAGATTAATATTTGCCACACTTTATCAACGATTCAAACAAACAGTTTACATTATGTCAAATTATATCATGATCTAAGTGAATTTTCATGAAATGTTCTAGCAAGTGGTTTATTTAAATAATCGTGATTGTTACCACGTGGTTACACTCACAAAAGCACATTCATAATGACGCTACGCCGTGCAGCTTCTCTACCAACCAACCAACCAACCCTCTCACTAAAAAACTCCCTAGCGCTATAACTAAACCCTACAGAACAGCCTTGGTGCCTGGGCTACTACATGCATTAAACCCGACGTGCATAATAATAATAATAATAATAATAATAATAATAATGTATATTTGCCATACAAAAAATACATGTGTATTATTGTTTAGGCGCGTCAAATAAATTAAATTAAATATAATAAGTATACAACATAAATAATAAACAAACAACATATATAAACAAATATAGAATACATATATACTACATATTAAACATATCGACTGACATTGGCGTTGACATATATTCATCGCAGTTATAAAAACAATTTGACTCCAGAAATGTTCGCATTATATTTTTAAACTTATTGCGATTCAATTGCCTTAATTTCAGTGGTAATATATTAAAAAGTTTGATACTCATGTAAGTGACTGACTGCTGTGTCTTACTTAAGCGATGTAACGGAATGACAAAATTTTGTTGGCTACGTGTGTTATAATTATGGACGTCCGCATTTCTTACAAACATTGCTTGATTTTCGTGTGCATGTAAGAGAATCTGAAGTATATATAAACTAGGCAGGGATAATATTTTCAGTTTTTTGAACAGGGGACGACAATGCGTACGTTGGTCGTGCGTTTTACACAGTATGCGAATAGCTCGTTTTTGTAAAGTAAAGATTCTTGTTGCGTGGGTTGAGCTTCCCCATAGTATTAATCCGTAACATATCAAACTATGTACATTAGAATGGTAGAATGTTTTAGCTGCACTGAAGGAGCAGTAAGTAACCAGTTTCCTTAGCTGAAAAATTCTAATATTAAGCTTTTTTGCCAAAATTTCCACGTGGCATTGCCAGGTAAGTTTACGGTCTAAAGTGAAGCCTAGACATTTAACGTTATATGCCCAATTTATCTCAGAATTTAAAGAAAACGCTATTGACTGTGTTTTATCTTTGTTCATTAATAGCCTGTTACTATTCAGCCACTTTTTTAATTGATCTAGACTATCTTTTTCTAGCGATATAAGTTCATTTACGTTTGAACTATGATTTAGTAGTGTCGTATCATCGGCAAATAAGGCTGATTTATTTGCCTCACTATTTTTGGGGAGGTCGTTTATAAAAATCAGAAACAGCAGAGGGCCTAGAATTGAGCCTTGCGGTACTCCTATGTTAATTTGCTTACGATCAGACATGTTTTCTTTTTCATACACCGATTGAAATCTATCGCTTAAATAAGACCTCAGCAAGTCGTGGGAAATACCCCTGACGCCATAAAAATATAATTTCTCTAAAAGCAGACTATGGTCGACACAATCAAATGCTTTTGAAAGGTCGATTAATGAAGCACAAGTTATGTGCCCAATGTCTAGATTTTCTAAAATGTAATTTACTATTGAGAGTACTGCCTATGTATTTGGTTGCCTATGTTTAACGATTTCCTTTTTGTGATTGAATCTTTTTTTTCAAATTCAAATTATTCAAGTGTGATTCCGCGCCGCTGTTAATTAATTTCAGCGCGAAAACTTTGATTTAAATTCGGTCACCACACTATTAAAATTTGTTTTAGAAAAACAACTCATTAAACCGTGTGTGTATCATATTTCACTAAAGTAGATCCTTTAATAATAGAGTGATTGGTAGTGGACATATCTGCTTCTACTTATTTATATGTATTCAATCAATAACACGAGGAATTGATAGTTTACACCATAACATCTGAGATCATGCTTAACGTTTTAATCATTTATTTTCTATTTATTGGGATACGACCGAAATGTGTTCAGAATAATATAAAATTGCGATAATTGTAATACTTATGATACTTACTTTGCAAGTAGACACTGAATTTTCTGAAAGAGATTATCTGTCACAATAGTCACATTGAAAGTAGTTTTCAACCAGAACAAATTCAGAAGCATATATTAAAATCACTGATAAACTCATCACAAAGTACTATTTATGGTTACTAATACACCAGATATGGGTTTTGAGGTGTCAGAAATTGAAATACGAAACGATACAGGTATTTCGTCACAATGTTTTAAATTGCGCAAAATATCGACAAAAAAAAATCATAATCGAAACAGTTGCCATCTACAAATTCTGTAAGCTTTGGCTATTGGCCGACAGAGGGAAATAAAGTTCATATCTAGTAGGAAGATTCAAACTGTACATTAATTAATTACATAATTACATACTTTAATTCTATTAAACAGTTTAGTCTCAGTTCATTACACTTTGATGATATTAGATAATGAAGAACAAATACAAATAAACATATGGTAATGTAACAGATATGTTCATACGTACGTGTACGTATATCAATCACATAGAACCTACTTTATACGCAATGTTGTTGTTTATTGTTTTTTTTTTTGCACTTTTGTTAATCATTTAAAATTCACATAGCTATGTGACACGGAAATCTTGAATGAATGCAAAAGAGCATAATTTAGATCAGCGCCAGCGGGATTGAAAAAAATATTTCTGATGTTGTTATACCCTCAGTCTCATTTATACATATTATAACAGAAAAAATCTAACTATTTACTCTCTATGTGTTACAGCAAAATACAAAAACGTCGAAAAGTTAACGCAAAAATGGCCCATTCTTTAGGTAAGATATCTTGGTTGTCTCGATGACAAACGAACACCTTTTTATTCATAAATTAAAAAAAATTAAATTCTACTAGGTGGTTTTGCATTCGACAAAGATATTCCAAGAGGACATCGACACTATTATACAAATAGAAACTGAGCGCCACCTCTGAGAAGCATCATTTTTCCAAATAAATCTTGATCTTTATTTTTATTTACCATGCTACGTATACCAATATTGCTGTAATCTGAAATTATCTACTCGGAGTTATAAAAATAAATAAACAAATGAAAATAGGTCAGATGTAGGATTTTAATTAATTTTGTTGTGTAGAATGCATGTTCGTGCAAGGACAAACAAACACCTTGTAAAATATTCCATCCATTAATGTAGAAAAAAGTTAAAAACAAATGGCTAAACCATGTATTATGTACGCTAATATCTAATATTAAAAGTAATCTAATAAAAGTACATACACACAAGGAAAGTAAATATTAACCATATGTTGATAGTGTTCCATGGGTATAATCAATATCGCAGGTTGAACGTGAATCAGTCGGCTTACTTGGTAAACATAACATCATTTTATAATGGCGAAAAAATAGACAGAGCCATACCATTTTATAAGGAAAGTATGCTTTAATGATTTTGACAACGGTAATGAACGTGATTTAGTTATTTTCTTGTTATTTCACCTTAATAGCTTATCTTTACTTATTTTGACAGATTTGTAAATATATCAACATGTAGGTAGGTATATTTTGATTTTGTTATCGTGATTAATGGATGACCTCCTTGAAGGTTAGCTCTTTGTCCTTGTTGTTTGTGTAACTTTTGACATCAGTGACAATGTATCTATGTACATATTTCGGTAAACAAAGAAGTTTCTCTCTGAGAGAAAGTTTAACTATATTCTAAAGTTGCAAAAACCACAAAGATGTCTCAGCTTGATCTTGTGCCGGGCGATTCAGACAGTTTCTAGTTGTCACCCTTGGAATTGAATCCGCATGTCTTCTCTGAAATGTTTCAAATTCAAAATTTTGCTCGCCAAAAAAAACACCACTTTTAATCCTACTAAACCAATATACTATTCTATTATAATTCGTCCAGTGTATTTTCATCAAATATCTGAACTGTGTTAGCCTTTTTGTCAGAGCGTGATTATAATTTTTTTTTTGCAGCCACCCCTTGCAGATCTAGACATCAAATTAGTGAATAGGGTTACAATGTGTTCCTTATATCTGTCAGCAGTGCTGATAGTGTTAATCTAACAAGCAAACTGACTACAACTTTCGAAGTAAATATTACATGAAACTTGTTACAAAACTATAGTAATATGAGTGTATTAAATTATCTATTTAATTTTTATTCCAGATAATAATTCCCACTTAGAAATCACCAATGTGTAATTTTACCAATCCATTGTTAACAAATGGCAAATGTCAAAGTAACAGATGTTCATTAGTCCATAATTTTGAAAGGGAATTTTGGAGAATTTTTTTCATTTATAGCTTATTTAGAAAAGTTTTTAGAAAGTTGTGATTAGAGGAGTTATGAGTTATGAAAGAGGCACCCATAAAAAAGCAAAGATCAGCCTAGAATAATTTTAGGGTTTACTTACGTGTATAGTTATATGTATATGTATTTGTATTTATCGGTTCATTATGACTTCATGACTTCGTATTATCTGTTCACCTACTTATTGAAGATATAACGATATAGCAACATTCCACAAATTTATTCATATTTATATTCATTAGTCATTACAGTTCAAAAATTCGTAGGAAAATTAGATATAGCAACGTTCCACAAAAATTATTTATAATTTATTATAAGATAGGGTAGCACTGTGCACTCGCACAGACAGAGAATATTTACACTCTGCAAAAACATACAAAAAAATCGGGACGGCAGACAGACGGATAGACAGACAGACAGACAGACGAAGACGGGAGACCTATTTCTTTGTACTCTAGGGGTCATGAAAGGTCGAGAAAATGTAAAAGTGGAGAGTCGACCGACCGACTTGATTACAATACCTCCTTCGCTTATGCTTGGGAAATAAATATAATGTCTTGGGACTTGATTACAATACCTTATTCGCTGACGCTTGGGAAGTAAAAATAGTGTCTTGATAGTTTTTACGAAGAACTAGACATCGTTACAGAGCAATGAATGATGTTCTCGTAACATTTATAGTGTTGTTCAACCAAAGGTCGATTTATAAATTTGTAAATCAACGGCAACGTCAGTTGCTCTTCGCCGTTGACGTTGCCGTTGTAAGATAAATACGCAGTCAATATATGTGTCGTTTAAATCATCCGCTGACGTTGCTGTTGAAAGTTGGCACGCCGTTGGGGTGACGTTCGAGATGACCAACTTTTAACTTTCGCCGTTACGTTGCCGTTGACGTTGGGTTTTCAACCAATCAAACTGCGGTAGTGTGCAGTAATGCCAACTTGAAGAAAAATCCCCTGAAGTAGGGGGGGACATTTTTCTGGTTGACAGCATTAATTTCACGAAAATCAAATTTTGATAGAGATAATGAGGTCCACTAATATTAAGCCATTTAAAGTCCTGTTCACCGACACCCTCATATTTTAAATAACTGTCATCATTTTCTGCACTCTAGCTTTATGGCAGTAGCAACAAAATTTATTGCTATTCGTCTCAAAAACAAATTAGGTAGGCATTATATCTACAAGGGCTTACACTTTGCCCTTTTTTCTTAATACATAAGTATGTGTAGTCTACTTTTCACAACAAGAAAGAATTTTGCAATTATTATGCTCTGCCCCTTGGTCTGACAACGAATTAAGAAATTCATCACAATTGAGGTCGGGATGGTTATGTGTGGGGCTTACTTTTTGGCTTGTTTTTCTCTTAAAATACATAATATTCTTTAAACAACACCATACTCAAAAACATCTTCTTTATTTCTTGTAGAGATTGCAATTAAGCTCCTCCCCTTGGCTCACGACATATAAAAAAATCATCATAATTGAGATAGGGCGGGTGGGTGAGGCTTATATGTTGCCTTTTTTCGTTAATATGTGTAGTCATCTTTTCACAACAAGAAACTTAAAACATGTTTAAAATGGTAAACTTGTATAGAGAAATATCGATTCTGCAATTACGCTCCGCCCCTCGGTTTGGCACCGAATGAAAACTTCATCACGGTTAAGATCGAGGCGGATGGGCGGGGCTTCTCTTTTGGTTTTCTTTTTAATTAATACATTTAATTTTCTTTGTACAACACGATTACTTAAGAACATATTTCACATGGTCATTTCTCGTAGAAACATAAGGATTTTACAATAAGCTCCACCCCTCGGCTTACAACGAATAAAAAAATGATTAGATTTGAGATAGGGCGGATGGGCGGGGCTTTTATTTTGCTTTTTTTGCTTAATATACATAGCCATCTTTTCATAACAAGAAACTTAAAACATGGTTAAAATGGTTGTTGCAAGGAAATATGTATTTTGCAATTATGGGGTGGAACCTAATTGCAATATCGATATTTCCTTATACTAATTTTTCATTTTAAACATGTTTTAAGTTTCATGTTGTGAAAAGAAGTCTACACATAATAAAACAAAAAGGCAAAATGTAAGCCCGCCCACCCGCCCTATCTCAATTGTGATGATTTTTTTTTTATTCGCTGGGGGACTGAGCTTAACTGTAAAATACTTATTTATTTACAAGAAATTAAAAACATGGTTTTGAGTATCGTGTTGTTGACAGATTGCTATGTATATTAAGAAAAAAGGCCAAACTACGCTACGCCGCCACTGAGCAATACGCTGTGACTACTTTCATTTTATTCTGTGACTAGTATTATCCATGTTGGTGACGTCATCACAAATTTGTTTTTGATCAAATTAAGAATGAATCAACCCATTTTCTCAAAAATGTGAAGAATACTCACGTCTCTATATAATAAATGATAAAATAAGGATTATCATATTCAGAACATTTTGTTCGACTGTGATTTCATTAATAATTTTAGTTCTCTGTTTTCAGAAGACAAACTAATCTCTACGTGACATTCTTCCGATGTATAAATATAAATAAACACTAGAGTTTCAGATTGCTATTACCTAGTGCTGAAGGACATTTTATCTATTTTATTCCGTACGGCGAAGGGGTTGCGAGGTGTTATTTATACCGGATGTTTTAACTTTACAGGGGCTACCACAAATCGAAAATCGTAAAATCAAATTTTATCATTTTTTTTAAAGAGCTAAATTTGTCGGAGTATACTTATAACCTTTGACCAATTTTTTATTGACCAAATTAAGATCCTCATTTTCTAGAAAATATAAGAAAACCCACGTCTTTATTTAATTATGATTAAATAAGAGTAATAATAATCATATTCAAAACATTTTGTTCCATTGTGGCTTAATTAATAATTTTAGTCCTTTATTTTGAGAAGACATTTCATTCAAATTAAACAAATTTCTACGTGACATTCTTTCGATATATAAACATAAACAATCGAAGTTAAATATGTACATTGGTAATATGTAATACACTCTTTTCCGTTGGTTATTTGCTTTGAATATATTTCTTATTGTCCGTACGTCTGCGGACGGCACCTTCTTGGAATTTGCACTCTGGCGGCGCAGAGGGTTCGAGGTGTCATTTACACCACTGGTTTTTAATATGTAAGGTTATCAGAAAACAAAAATTTTATTACAAAATTAATAAAGTAATAATTATTTTACACTTTTTCAAAGGCCAAATACGTAATACTAATACAATTATTCTTGCCGTTGACGCTCCAACAAAAGCTTTTGTAATATTAGTACTAACTTACTAATCCGGTGAACGCATACCCCATGCCGCTGCAATTTACATAACCTTTCTCAGGTTCTGCGAAGATCCGCAATTTATATTTTGCCGTTACTGAAACTAATCGATCGAGAAAATAGGTTACTTCGCAGTTTCCTTGTTGTTCACTCCAACAAGACCAAGTTTTAAAAGTGAAACATATTAAACTATGCTTAATTTCCGCATTATCACGTTTGAACCATTACAATTTTTTCAACAGATTTGGCTTAAAATAAAATACAATCCTGTAGCTGTCGAAAAATTCTCTCTTTATAATCACTTTGCTTTTACTATACGAACTGATTCTGGATCAGAAGGAACTTTGAGCAGTGGAGATATCTTCACTAATCCCTAGTTGAAATTCTATAAATAAATAAATTTTGTAAACCTTTTTTTTTAATAGGTTTATTTACACGACGAATACGATACTCATTTTCTTATATGGATTCTAAATGTAAGCACTTTTTTTCATTTTTGGTTTTCTGATATATTTTTATTCAGTCAACACGTCTTTCTGTATACACTTTCTTTGCTATTACGACTTGAAACACGATGCTGTCTTGTTTCAGCTATTTCAAGCGATTGTGAAAGGGGACTTACATGTTTACTAGGCTTACATGTTTCGCTAAGGTTAAAGTAATAGTTACAAATATAGAAAGTAGGATAACTTGATACCTATCAGATAAGATCAAATAAGTTTTCCAAGACTTACTTCTAACCAATTTTTGAAATTATTATGAATGCAAGTTGAAAGATTAACTAAGAAAACCAATATTTATGTAAGTATAAGTGTAAAAATAAGAGTCACAAAATCATTAAAATCAAAAACATAACGTCGTGTCTTTCAAAGGGTTAAAATGCTCCAAAAACGTTCGTTCCCAACATATTTTCCCCACACTTGTCAAAAGCGATATTACCATATACCTATGTACGATCTATATTAGTCCTTATCATATTTGTTCGCGACTATGTGTATATAAAAATCGTCCACCTGGCATCAGATCGACGAGTTATCGATAAGGGAAGCTTATCAAAACGATTGGAGTCAATATGCAGACAGTTTAGTTGAAGTAGTGAAGTAGTGCACTTCTATGAAGAGTCAATTCTTCAGTTCAACAAAGTGTAATCATTGACAAACGACAATGTCTACTGGTGGATACGAAGAATGCGCCACTTACGATAACTCCTGGCACATCATACCGCCGGATTATGTCCACATGGAGGACGAATACCGATACACGTGAGTATCTACTTCTCCCTTATTTTAAAATTTTTACTCAGCATTGAAGAGAACAAACACAGAAAAATGTTTACGAGCATTTATCCCTCTTCTCGCACTTTCCAATCCCTCTTTATTCCGTCGTTCGAATATGAATGAACCGGAATTTACTACGTCTTCGGAGGTGGTCTTTGGCTTTGGCGACTCGCAGTCTACGTTGTGAGAAATCTACCTGCTGGTTATTCTTGAACACAGGTGTCCTCGTTGGACGTTTTATTTAGACCATTAAGGTTCTGTCGGCTTTGAACGCTTCAAGGATCCGCCGGCTCTAAAGCGTTTAAATATTATTTTTTACCTTAATAAATCCTGTTATTCGTGACGAAGGGTTCTTCCGGAGATTGTGCTTTTAGGGTGAGGTAGTGCTTTTGGATAGAATGTAATTGTAGGGGAGCTGGGATTATGGAAAAAGTCGTTAGCGTATTGTTTGTGCTCGCTGGTATGGAGTAGTAAGAATACGGTACTTTTAAGAAATTTCAAATTGTCAGATTTTGGGATAAAACAGGAATTGTGAACGTATTTTTTTTTTTACGTTTTCAAAAACTGTCGAAACATACAGAAAAATTAGTAACTTTTCAAAAAACCTTAATAATAATTAAAAAATATAATTTGCCTTTTGAAATATTGCTAAAGATTTATGGTAGTACTTCTGTATCACACACGTACTGTTTGAAAACTACCAGATAACATAACTGATTGGCTACCAGAATTCAAAACGGTGATTAGGTACCTTTTTTAACAATTTAGATAAAGATGCTTGGAAATACGGTACTCATATTGTGATAAAAATCAAAATCAAATGACTTTACTGCTAATATCAGATTACATAGAAAGGATTAAATATACCTTAGGGTCAAGTATAATAAGTAGTTTGCACATAAAGTATGATTATATATAGTCTCATAATTATTACGACGTGTTGACATTTTGAAAAAGGTTAAAATCATTTGGGAGGAACTGATACAGAACCTCTTTTTTCTAGCAATCTAATTTATCCCGTTTTATGACTAAACATGATCATAAATGATTCAGTAATTTGAACACATCATGCCTTTTGTGTGAAAATTGTCAATAAATATATTTAAAAATTCAAAAAAAATTAAAGTTTAAGTCTTACTCTGACGCTTTGACAACATGATAGCATATAAATGAACAAAGTTTAGACGCGTATTTTTAATACTATTTAGTTGTAGTGCCAAATCTTTGCAAGAGAGAAAATTAGTAGGTACTTGAACAAAAACAAAAAGTACGATGCAATTAAAATAAAACGTTTAATATAAGCTGAGTTCAAAATGTCATGGAAAAATTGGTATTTCCACACAGTTCATATTTAATAAATATGAATCGGCAAATTGATAATTGAGATGTTTGTCAAAATACAGTCCAATAAGTGCTAAATAGTTGTGATAACATATCTTATGTCGTCTACAATATCGTCAGATAGGTAATGAAAAATTAAAATATAAAGGTAGAGATTTCGTCTATTAGCTATTATTTATTATATACCTACAGCACTTCATTTTATGATGCTGATAAAAAAACTCAATAGTTTCAGTAGTGTACCAAATCTAAAATATGTATATAGGTAATAAGACTTAGAACTAGAATTTATCAAAGTCGTTATTTTAGTTTTAAACAAGGGAGAATGCACAATTTTTTAATAATTTTGAATATCTTATCTAATTATGTGTAACATCAATTACTGATCAGAAATCTAATGCCTCTTTTGGTAGCTAATTGGTGCAATCCTTAATATAATTGTATTAATAATAACGTTTTACTGCTTTACATTTGTTTTATTGATACTGTAAAAAAACAGAAACCTACGCAAGAAGCTATACTGCGTGCTGCAGATCTGAAGTGACATATCAAATGTACAATAATAAATTACAATATTTTTAATGTATATGATTCAAAACATTATTTTTTCGCTGCTATAATTAATTAAATTGTCCATAATTTCGAAGTTAGTGATTTCTAGTTTTAAGGATCTTTTGAATTATGATATTTATAAATTCACTAGAAACCGCAGCTGATATTGCTGTACACTAGAAGCGTAACAACTGGAGATAGTACCGCAATCCTTATAAGGGGACAAACGTATTTGAAGATCATCCACCACAGTGGGAGTCCTTAGGTACACTTCAAATTTATGACCGCTTAAAAACTACCCGAGTTTTGCAGATATTTTTTTTTTTTGAGGGAAAAATGAGTCCTACTGTATAAGATTAAAAATATTATTAGTTTTTATTCCGTTATTCCATATAATATTGATTTTGGAAATTCAAAATTTGTAACATCATATTACATAATCTGAATTTTATTTTATCTGTTTCATATACAGGTGTTCCAATAGTTGTTTTATGTAGGTAAGAAGTCGATAAGGGCCTCTTCCACCAAAGCGGTTTTAAGAATTTATAAAAATGTTAAAACTTAGCGTAGTTGTATTAATTAAAAACGGTTGTTGAAAAGCAAGTAAAATGTTTTCTGCAAAATTACACGATTTTTAAATAAAAGCATGGTTGTCTTGCGAACTCTTACTCTTACATTTTTCAGTAGCGCGCATTTTAATCTTTTACGTCCACCATTTGGGTACTTTGTACCTATATAGAATTTAAATGTGTCAATTAATTTTCATGAGGTTTACAATTTTGTGTATCAAATTTTACATCGAAATAACTACTTAGAATTTGATTTTTGCTACTGTAGATTTAAAATAGTTTTAAGAAAAAAAATTTCATTAAAAGAATATAGAAATGACAATTCTGAGATTCTTTCAGATTTCAAAATTAAAATGATAACACTTCGAGTGTTGCTTTTAACTTTTAAGTTATTTCAAAATTTCTCTTAAAGCATTTTTAAGGATAATGTTTTATCTACGATTAACGTTATACAGATGTAATTGATTGAAGATGCTGAAACAGAAAAGGAAACATTAGTGATTATACTAATCAAACGACGCCGAGTTTACATCGATTTTAGTGAGAGGATATTATAACGATATTTCAATGTATAAGACATTGTATTAGAGTCACACTTTGTAATACCTACTCTATACTATAACTTATCAATCTAAGTTCCAAAACACAGAAGATCCGTATTCAATTATCGTTGTGATAACACCTTTGTCAGTATTTAGTAAAGTTTTTGAATAGGTATATATTTATTTTCATATTTTATCACAAACCATTTTAAAAATTTCTATTCTTGGGAGCACACCCATAAAGACGCTATGATTATGAATATAATTAAGATAGGTATAGGTATGGAATGGACTAGCAATGATGAAAATCGAGATAACTGGTTTATAACATCGACATCAACATTCAGATCAATATTTTCGGTATATTTTTACCCCAGCAGCTCAAAAAAGTGAAACATATTTTTCCGTAATTCCTGTTCGTTCAATTAAGGAACAAATACGTCAAAAACAACCCTCCATCTAAAATTGAAAACGTTCCAAAGCACACCAGCCCGACACCGTCATCACAACCCCGGAAACATTCCAGCGGCAATTAATCGCCCCATCAAAACACAACATTAACTCCCCCGCATGACCTAATTCTCTTCATGTATACAAGCCCGTCTCCCAGCAACCCGTCCCATTATCAACCCATCGCAATTACCACCATACAAATCCACCATCTCCATTACCGTCGCCCTCCGAAGGGTCAAAGGTCTCCAGTTCTCGTCCGCCTCGCACAAAGGCGCCCAAGAACGGTGTCCTCCTCGAAGACCGGCACTCGAGCAAATCCCCGAGCCCCGGAACCCCCAGTTTGCGAGCCCGCCGCCCCATTGGCCCTCTCGGGCCCCGCCCCCGTGCACTCGGCCGCGATTGGTCGGCGTGAGAGCCGTCGAGAGGCCTGAAGAGCCCATCGAGTGAAGGGCGCCTCTTCAGCACTCTTCAGTGGCTCTCCAGAAGCTCTCGACAACTCGCGTGCCGGTCCACTTGAGCCGATAACAGTGCGGTGCTAGTGACAGTGGGAAAGGTGGCCGAGGAGGACAAGCCTCGGAACGACGACGCCATGCCGCCGGCGTCGGTCGCCGCCACCGCCGCCGCCTCCACATCGGCCTCGGCGGCGGCGGCGCTTCTCGCCTGGCCGCCGCTGCTCCTACACCCGTGGGCCCCGGCGCTGTTGCCGGGGGCCTGGTGCTCGTCCGCCATCAGGTCGGCCTTGCCAGGGTTAGTTCACGATTCTTGTATGTAGGAATTACCTTCCGTGGAAAGGAAGTAGCTTTTGTGGTGGTGATGACATAAAAATCAGTTTCTTCTGGACGTAATTTTTTGCTTAAATTTTCTTCGGTAACAAAAATATCAGGGTGTACCATAATTGACTGTATTTTTTTAAAGACACTATACAATGTTTTCAACTGTAGCTTTTTTTGAATGTTAAAGTGCTAAGCTCTGTAAAAATATCAAAGGAAGTTTGTTCGTGCCTTGTTGGTCTTAACCCTTAACAACAGTTTAAAGCAATTGTGTGAATCTGACGTTAACAGAAGTTAAAATGGCCCAAATTAATCATTAAATACTAATCGTTAAATAAGATTGAACAGCGTTATAAAAAATAAATCAGGATATACCTAGATAAGTACATGTCATATTTTCTTCCATATACAGTGATTTTCATTTCTAAGCTATACTGAATAACAACAAAAAGCCGGCCATGCTGAAATATTTCGCAAAATTGCTTTAAAAATTATATTAATAATAATTTTACAACTACGATTTTTATTGTATTGAAACAACCATTCATTGGTGACATAGGATGTACAAATTAGCTAAAAAAGAGACAAATCATTATATAGTTAAAATATAATTTTTAAATTGCTTTTGCGAAATATTTCAGGGTGGTCGGTTTTTTTCCCATCAGTGTATTTACAAAAAACATGTTAAAAACACCACACGCTAAAAAAATACTGTTAAAATATTCTTATTCTTTAATAATTTAATATTTAAAATTTTATCAATGAAAGTTTTAAAAAGCAGAGTGTTTACTTGTTTTCAAAATTAACATAGATTTTAAAAAAGCCTCTGTCAGAGATTTTGAATCTCTCAATATTATTACATAACGGTATAAAAAATCCAAACTTTGCTGTGATTGTTTCCGCAACCGTGCATAAATTATGACAATTTTTCTGAAAAAAAAAAAAATTAGTCCAAAGTTCTTTCGACAGAATTTCCCTCATACCTGAAGTACAAGGAAAACATACCCAGCATTGTCGAGTTGAGTTTGTTCTTCTTTACACAATTTTCTGATGCCCTCATCAACATTTTTGCAAGAACCTGAATTGGCGCAGTGTCATACTAAAAATAACAGTATTGTATTTCCAAAATTTTCCGTAAAAAAGAAGTGAGCCTTATTCAGATAGATTTTGAGGTGACGTCACAAATTTTTTAGGGGGGATGAGCAAATACATTACAAATTTACCACGCTTATAATATAATATAACTTGAAAACATCTCCAAGATTTCAAAGCATTCGGTTTTGCAGTTCTTGATTAAATCAATAAAATAAATTCACGCATTCATTTTTTTTTTGAGTCACACAGTATAAGCAAATCCAAAAAATATGATTGGAATCATAAATCATAAGTACAGATTCATCATATTTTGGACATATTAGGTAGGATTTATTCGGCAAAATTTTGAGCTGACGTCATCTTTTTTTTTGGAGGGGAGAAGTAAATAAGTATATTTTGATTAAAAATTTGTCATGCTTTTCATAATTTTAAAACATCTGCAATATTTCAAAGCATTCGGTTTTGCAGATTCCAAATTAAATTGCAAAATGTGGTTTTATAATTTTGATTTTTTTTCCAAAAATATGGCCGTTTCGGGTAAAAATTCACGGAATCATAAACTACATGTATAGGAGTACATTATTTTATACAAATTAAAAACCCATTTACTATGTACAATTTCGAAGTGACGTCATACTTTACAGTTATGGTATTTTCCGTTAACAAATGGGTAATTCTACCTACATTCAGCAAGTTATTTTATACATACACTAATTTTGAAGTAAATATCCTGATTTTTTTCGTGTTAATTGCGCATTTCTCTACCCGTTGTGTTATCTTTCTTGGAAGGAATGTCATTTTGTTTGTACCACATTTCCGTTGTGAAAAATCTGCAAAAATTTGGTTCAAGGTCGCATTTGTACTTTTTGTACTGTGTTGAAAAATCAATTGTTTCTTTCAAGAGGTGGTAATGATGCGTCTACATTGTATAGGACTTATCAATGATGTTTTATTGTTTGTAGATAATACACAACATGACTATTTAATACACTTAAAAATGTTTTATCCATTTATCAGTAATTATGGAAATATAATAGATATGTGATAATAATTAATACATATGTGCTTAAAGATTTTTCGTGATTGCATAAATCAGTTTAGTCATTTTCAGTACTTAAAATGTTACAAATTAATAAATGACAAAATGACGAGGGTAATCTAATAAAATTTGGTAAATGAAATGTGTAAAGAATTAAGTACTTCCTATAGTTTAGAGTTATCTTCTTAATAAATAAGTTCAGTTAATTCATTCTTATTTTACAATATTAATTCGTTGATTTCAGTAAAATTTAAAAAAAACATAAGTTGAAACCAAGTTTACGTGACGTCATGTTGATAAATTTCTAATGTAGTTGATCAAGTCTACACTCTAAGCATGGGCTACATATGAATAAATTATTATTATTATTATTATTATTCCGCTGAAGTAACAGTACTTCTAACTCGAAAATTATTTCCCTCATTAAAATTCAGTGCCCCTCTTCTCAGTAACTTCTCACAAAAGTAAGCATTCCAACACCCGCACAAAGCCCAGTCCTCAAAGCCTTCACTTCTGAATAAAAAACCCTCTCGACAATACCCACTTGAAATATGCCCTGGTGAAACCGGAAACAAGCAATTTAAATTTTCGTGGATATTTGGCAGTTCGGATTTGTTGTTTAACTAAGCGTGACTTGGCGAGGGTGGTCAGGTCCGACATTCCGCTTTTATTGCCCTTTTTGGCACAGGTGACAATTGAAACCAGATCCGAGGGATTCATCCGAAGTCACGTTTCGGCCCTACAGGTGTCTTCAGGTGAAAGATGCCGCCCTGGGAAAATGCACGAAACAGCGTTTATTTCCCGATAATGGCTCTAAATTTTATGATCGGTCGTTTGTTGCAGGTTGTTGGACAGTATGAAGATGACGGGGCCGATGGGAAACCCAAGGCAGCCGGCCGGGTTTGCCATCAGCGATATTTTGGAGTTGGACAGGAACAGCAACGTCGGGATGGATCAGCCGCCGGATGCGCCCTTGTACAATCATCCCGCACACGACATTGGGGGCTACGTCCCCATTTCCAGGCACTGGACGACGCCGCCGGAAGGTAAGAAACTGCTTTCAGTTCGTTTGTTGGGGTCTATTTACTGTGAATCGCAAAATATTGCGGAAATGTGTCAAGTAAATCGGGAATACAGAAGCTAAAAGTATGGCAATTTAGAGTTTTTCTAGACATCTTAGTTTGACGGGTTAATGATACATTTACAAAAAGTTTTTAAAGGTTAAAATTTTAATAAAATAAAATTAGTTCAATGTTTCTGTATGGAAACTAATAGAAAGTAACCAGTTACAAAACGTACTAATAATTTCTCATTTTTCTTTACACAAAATCAAGAAACTCCCAGAACGTGATGGAAGATATAACACGAAACAGTTTTGAAGTCCAATAAAATACAGTTTTCTACCGTTATAGACAAACAAAAATGTTTCTTCGGTCGTTAGACTATGATTTCAAGTTTAAATATGGCTTCATGTATATCATTTATTTAGAGTCTATGGTATAACATCTTACTATTCTTTTAAAAGACCTCATAAAGCTGTAGCCCACTCTATATGTTTATCTTGAAATTTTTAATATATCTTATAAGTATTTTAATAACCATTAAAAACGTCTCTTAAATTTAATAAATTGGTCCAAGCTATTTCGACAGAATTTCCCTCTCCCCTGAAGTACAATAAAACATCCAGCTTTTTCGAAAAATTATAATTTTTTTTTCGACTTATTGATTGATTTTTTGAGCCGCCCTGTATAGGCAATTCTCAAAAATATCAATGCGCTACATACATAGATCATAAATATTTGTATCATACTCATCATAGTTAGCTTGTTTTAAATAGGATTTATTTGGCAAAATTTTGAGATGAATTTTCAATTTTTTGGGAAGATAAACAGATATATTTTGATTCCAAATTTACCATGCTTATGATAACTTTGAAGCGTCTGCAAGATTTTAAAGCGTTTGTTTTTGCAGTTCGAGATTTAATCAATACAATAATCTGATCCATTAATTAATTTTTTGAGTCATCCTGTATATGTAATTCTAAAAAAAATGAATGCAATGATAAATCCCAAGTATAAACTCATCATATTTCCGTAGAATTTATTCTGCCAAATTTTGAGATAACATCATAAATTTTTTGGAAGGGATAAGCAAATATATTTTTATTAAAATTTAGCAGGCTTACGATTTCAAAGCATTCGGTTTTATAGATTGAAAATTAAATTGCAAAATGTTAAATAATTTTGAGTTTTTCCAAACATTTTGATATGTCGGCTGAAAACTCAACGCGGATTCATTAATTACACGTGTGGGACTAAGTTATTTTGCAGAATTTAAGATCCATTTACTACGTACAATTTTGAGGTGACGTCATGACATTCTTGGTGGGGATGATTAGGCAACATTTGCTTTGTACCTTTGTACACTAACAAACTCATTGTACCTTTTTGAAAAAAGATTTCATTTGATAAATGAATGTTCTACAAATTTCACTACGTGTAATATATTTGGCTAATTTTTCAGTAATTTTAATTTTTGGATCACGTGTTTACAGCAGAATCATTATATTAAGATAACGAGGCACCAATAAGTTTTCAGATTAAATTATGTAAATAATTTTACTTTCTTTAGTTTTTTTTTACTTTCTTACTAAGCTTATATTTGTTTTCCGACTTATGAATAATGGGTTACCTAAAAGGGCGAAATCTGCGAACGACTATTGCATGGCGGCAAATAGTTTATTTTAAATTCGCTGTTCCAACGTTAAATCATTTGAATCGTGTTTTTCCATTTTAATTTTAACGTCGTCGATTTGTTGATATTAATACTGTATGGTTGATCAATTTAATCAAAGCAATGAAAAATATGTCCACAACCCACCCTAATCTGGAAACATTTTTATCGCTCGTTGCTAAAAATACAGGAATTAAATTTTTTTGAAGACATATAGGATGTCAAGAGTTCGTTAATGAACAGCTGAACTGTAGAAATTCTACAATAAAACAATTTTTTTATTCGAATTTGAACATCTTCTCAGCCGTTTTCTTAACATCTTCTGAGGTTAAGAAAACCTAATTTACGGGGCATGTGTGAAATGCGGGGCAAATAATCCGTTAATTTTCCTGAGCCCATGTTGTAAATGTTTATAAGATCATGTAAATTGTGGCTGAACTTGACTTTACCTTAATTTTAGAGTAAAATGAAATGAACTAAAGTTTAACTCCTTTACTGTTGTATATATAGTATAGTGTCCGTAGGTACGTTAATGCTAATATTATTTAATCTCAATTTTTTTAAAGTTCTGATGAAGTCGCAAATAAATTAATTTGAATAACAAACGAGGAATTTTTATCCACCCGACCCATAAAAAAAAATTGAGATTACGTTACACACATGGATAATACCAATGAAATTATAAGTTAATACCTATTATTGCAAAACTATGGCAATAGTCATACTATAAAAATAATAGTAATAGTTAAACCATATACAGAAACGAGTGCTCTTCTATATATGGTTTAACTGCAGAAAATGCGTGGCCCTTAGAGTACGAAAAAGTAGGTCTTTCGTTTCCGTTTGTCTATTTCTATGTCTGTCTGTCTGCCTGTTGTCTGTCCAGATTTTTAGTAATGAGACAATCTCAGAAACTACTGAACCAATTGTTGACAAATTGTATATGTGTATATGAATATCGTGTAGATGGTAAAACCCTAACCAAAATTTCTCTAATCACCCCCACCAACGATAGGATGACGTCATCCCCAAAATTTGCAATAGTAAATGAAATTTAAATTTAATAAAATTACTTACAGACACCTGCACTTGTTTATGAGTCCGTGTTCAGTCTCTACCCTAGATATCCAGGTTCGTGGAAAAAAATCAAAATTGAATAGTAACATTTTACAATTTGATTTTGAAACTGCAAAACCGAATGCTCTTTAATATTACAAACGTTTTAAGATAATTAAATACATGGCAAATCGTTAATCAAAATTTATTCGTTTGTGTCCTCCGTCAGAAATGATGACGTCATTTTACAGTTTTGCCGAGTAAATATTATTAACTTTTATAAAATAACAGACTTGTGATTTATGAATCCGTGTTGAGTGTTTACCCTTGATATATAAACGTTTGTGAAACAAATAAAACTTGTATAACAAGATTGTATACAATTTAGCTTTGGAAGTGGAAAACCGAATGGTTTGGAATTTCGCAAAAACAATTTAACTCCTCTCCTACATTCCCCCAAATTTCTGACGCCATCACCAAATTTTCTCCGATACATCCCATCTGAAATATGCAAAATATTTTGAGTCCACTGTTTTTTACTTTATAAAAGGTATCACAAAAGAAATCGCAACGTTATATTTGGTTTGAAAGGTTCCAAAGCAAATTTTTTAAATAAGTATTCGGTTTGAAAACTAAATTTCTTAAAATCCTAAAAATTCCCATATTGGAATTGACGATTCTGCAAAAATAGTAAGAATTTTCGAATACATGAAGCTTAAAATAACTTCTAGAGGTTGAATTCTACAAAAATGTTTTTAGTAAATTTTCGGACGTGGTTGAAAAATGATGAAAAAGTTATTGAAAAATTAGCTTTTGTAAAAATGTCCTAAAAATTCATACAAAATTTTGAGATATTTGATCTCGACGTCCTGATTTGAAAGAAAGCGTGTTTATAGTTCCGGACAAAAATTTCCGAAATATTCGGTTTGAACCTTAAATTTTTTAAAAAACCTAAAATTTCCCACATTTCAGTTGGCAATTCTGGAAAAGTGGTAGAATTTTTCGACGAAATGAAGCCGAAAATAACTTTCAGAGAACGAAATCTACAAGAAATAAATATCTAGCTGATTTTCGAATGTGGTTGCAAAATGACGATCCGACAAACTATGGTTTTCGTTTTATCATCTACATAATGTCTATAAAACGTATCTAAAATTTCACAAATGTTAAGTCAGTAATTTCACAGTAATAAAAGCGTCAGAAGGTCACAGAGAACAGACAGACGAAACGGGAGAACTACTTTTTCATATTTTAAGATTTGCGAAATGTCGAAAAATGCTCCTGAAATGAAATGAAATTTAAAACAAAAATACAAGTGAATATGTTGCAGTACAATAATAAATTTGGGAAAAAGTGCTAATCGATAGAAAAAAAATGTCGTGCAAAGAAAAGTGACGGTTAAATTTCTTGGAATTAACTACAACTTTTTGGAATTTTACACCGCAGAAGCGGGATTTGTTGGACTGTATTTCAGGGTCGAGTAAAGTTCTGTCGAAATAACTTTAAACCACATTAGTATAAGTAAGTGTTTGATGCACTAAAATACAGGGTGTTGTAGTGACTTACTCTGCCCTCATCTAAGATAACCTTATTTTTCTAAATCTCCTGATTGGGTTTTCTCTCTCTCTATTTTGATCTTTGATATCTGAAGGATAGTCGCCTTCGCACCTTTATTGGCTGGTGATATCTTCGTTAGAGACTTTTTGTTAGCTGTTTAATTCTACTTTTCAGTAATTTCGGAGAAGGTTTTTTCAGGTTGATATTGAGTAGGTGGGTACTAACTCTTCTTGTTTCTGGGAACAATCACTTTGTTTCGTATATTTCATAGCTTCTCACTAGTATTTTCGTTGACAGTACTTAATCAACATGGTGACATCAAATTGACGTTATCATAGCGAGTGCTAAATTGCAATATTACTTACACAGGTAAAGATAAGCGATGCATCTACCGAAATGACTAATCGAAACACTGAGACTCTTTGCACTAAATCTTTATTAGCGCATCCTAGGAAGTGAATTAAGGAATTTATAAATCAATATGGCATAACTGATAACCTAGAACAAGATAAGCTTCGTTCGCGTTTTCACATTTAACGACACTTTTAATTCTCCCCTTTTTTATTTCTATTCCAAAATTATGATTAGCCTATCCCAACCGCACCCCTCTCGCCTCTCAGGGCGTGCATCTCCATTGTCACCCAAACTTACCAAAAAGAATGGTACATTTACTCCACCCATGGCTGCAGATTCGCCATAACAGTAGACATCGCTGGGGTGACTGTCACAAGGGTCATTTAAATTGGTTTATGTAAAGGTGTTTAACATTGATACATCACCGAGTCCCCTTCTTTTGGCAATTACACAACGTTCAAAGGAGAGTTAGTGGAACTAAATGGATTGCAGAGGGGCCGGCCTGAAAACGTTCCCCACGTACTACTGTTGGGTCGGGTAATGAAACCGAGTCACGCCTTCCGACAACAAGAACAGCTGCTGAAATCTGCAGCTGCTGCGGTTGTCTACCTGTTTTGGTTTAATTACGTGAAAGGGTTGTAATTAGGAGGATGTGTAAAGTTGCTTAAAACCACGCAGATTAGGAAGGTTATTAAATGTGCTTAAGTGTTATCTGTGGTAGTGATAGGTATTATATACTTATCTGTTATCAAATAGTGTTTTTGAAAGTTTACATAATGAAGTAATGTGGTTGTAGTAAAAGATTGATAGCAGATGTTGACGCCTAGGTTTTTTAATTTGTAAATTGATAATTTCCAGGAAAGATTATAGCATGTAGACCAAATAGGTACAATTTATATACAACCTTTTTAAGTAATTCGATTATTACTAAATATTATATAACTTTGATGTTTATAGATCTGGTAGAAAATTTAAAAACTTAACATTTTTCTTTTACCTATGAAAGATTTTGATTTATTGAAAGCAATTGATGTTGGTAAATATTTTGTAAACTAATAGTGTCTTATCTATAAATAAATTTCAGTGTATACTTATTTCGTTTAGGATGTACCTCATAAAATTCTATGATAATATTGAGCTCCTGACGATGGGGTGGAGATGCGGTAAATTCTATCGTTGGCTGACGCAGTTACAATGTCTCTTGAAAATACCTAGTTGGTAATCCAGGATCAGCCTCTTCTAAAATGGGATCTATATAATATTTTGAGGTACATCCTAAACGAAACGAGAATAAGTAACTACGACATGAGTCAGAAAAACTTTTCGTAACTTCTGGAGTGCACCAGGGTTTTGTCCAACTGCCTATACTCTGGTAGTAGTAGTTCTAAATTTTAAATTAATCCTTTCAGGGATCTATTCCGTTGACCTTTCTAATAATAATATTAATAAAATAAAATGCCGTACTAAAACTCTAATTTCTTACTCGAACTCAATCTGTTAAAAATTTAGGAAGAAACAAAGTATATTTTGATGGAATTTTAGGGTTAGCTTTGCTCAGAAAATACGCAGACAAAATTTCGACACCACCTTGTAACGAAATTATATTCTTTCCAGCTCTTCACCACCCCCATCAGCACATCCAGCCCCACCCCGCCCAACTGAGCCCCGACAGTACCAGCCCCGCCATCTCGGACCGGTCCAGCGTCGATCCCACCGGCTCCTTAGACAACCTCCCGTCCCAGAACGGTACCACCACTTCGGCGACCAGCGACCGGGATCCCGACGAGGACAACTCTGAAGACTGCAAAGACCCGCACCTCGTCGAGCAGCACGAGCAGCAGTCCGGCAGCCATAAGAAGCGCAAGCGACGAGTGCTCTTCTCCAAGGCGCAGACCTACGAGCTGGAGAGGCGGTTCCGCCAGCAGCGGTACCTCTCGGCTCCGGAGAGGGAGCACCTGGCCTCGATCATCAGGCTGACGCCCACGCAAGTCAAGATTTGGTTCCAAAATCACAGGTTCGTGTTTGCTGATTTCGATCGTGTTTTGTGGTTTCGGAGATAAGATAAGGAGACGGAGTAGGTACTAAGTGCGGTATTGTTCGGGGATTGGCAATGTTTGATTTGGGTTATTTTTTGTAGAGAGTGATGAAATGTGGTGATACGGGCTAGATTTGGGACCGGCTGTTTGTTTACGTTATAGGCTTAAAAATGATCAGTCGGACGAAATTGTGTACTAATGTTAATTATCGTCAAACGAAAAAAAAAACTTTTTGTTCTGTCACTGTTATTTAAGTGTCATTTCAAGACCACTTTCAAGGAAATAAAAAATGTCTGACATCTTTTAGTAAACATCACGAATCTTTGAAGGTCTATTTCTAAAATTATTATTTGTTATAGAGTATTTAGATATACATATAAGAACACAGCAACAGTCTTCTTTAAAAATATAGGTATATTATACTTTATAACAGTTTAACGGAAGTTTTTCGTCTTAATTATAAAAATGACAAAAAGAAGTTTTTTGTCGTTTTTATCTCGCTTAAAAGCTGACAAACATAGTTGCAATATTCAGTAGCAACTTCTACATTCTGAAATCTATTATTTATTTACTAATTTGGAATTTCGTAAATTACAAAAATGTGGCTGATTATTCAGATAACAGTGGGTACTTGTAGAGATATGCAGAAAGTAGTAATAATGTATACACTTTTTACTTCCTGAGCGTAAGCCTGAAAAACCGACTGCTTTGAAATCTTACAGATGTTTTAAATTTATCGTAAGCTTGGCATATTTTTAATTAATATATATATATTTGTTTATCCCCCCAAAAAATTGATGACGTCATTTAAAAATTTTGTCAAAATAAATAAATCCTATCGAAAATGTATTTAAAATATGATGCGTCAATTGTTGTGACAAAAACTCATTTGAAACATACGCGTAGCAATCTTCTTTACATTTACCTTAACACTACATAGATATCTTCATTTTAACATATAAAAGTTCGCAAAATCAAATTTAAATTTTTTTGAAGAACTTGGAAATGTTTTATTGTACGAGTACTTCAGGAGCAAGGAAATTTTTGTCGCAGTAACGTACGACCAAATTCTTGTTGTGTTTCAGCGTTTTATTGTTTTATTATGAATTTTACATATAAATATTCTTAGTCCATAAGAACACTAGACTGATATATAAATTATTATCACTGGAGATATTACAAAATCAAAAAATGACCTTAAAACTTGTTTGTATGAATCTAAAACCTGGATACTGATTGCGTCACTTTCAGACTAAATTGCATTTCAATAAAATAAATACAGTTGATAAAAGCTGTTATTTATGTTGAAACTTTTGGCAATAACGTAACAAATTTCCACTTCCTGCTATTAACTTCCAGTTTTACGTATACAAAGTGGGGGGAAAATAGTATGTTCCAAGGTTTTATTGCAGTTTTATCAGAGCTTCGAACACAGGTATATCGCAATTGGAAAGCTAATAATGATTATGATGATAACGCTAAGAGTAAGTTTTTATAGAAATAAATAAACAGTTAAGTATAACATTGAAAAATCAATAATCAACTAAAGCTCAGTAAATACTCTCAAGATGACAGTCTAGGATGTACCACTCGATTATTAAGTAGATCAAGATAATGAAATACACCTGAGAAAAAATGGGTCTAGGGTTATTTTTACAGAATTCCCTCGCTCCTGAAGTGCAGTAGAACAAATCTAGTCTTTTTGAAAAATTATAAGATCTGAAATATGTCTGTAAACGTAATTCTAAGAATTATGAGTGCATTGATAAACCACAAGACAGAGTTTTAATATTTTGCATATTTCAGAAGCTATTTATAATCAAAATTTTGAGATGACGTCATCACTTTTTTGGGAGGGGATAAATGATAATTTTTGAATGGCGATTTACGATGATTACGACAACCTTAAAAAGTTTGCAGGATTTCAGAGCATTCGATTTTGCAGTTTCAAAGTTAAATTGCAAAATGCTGATGATATTTTTGATTTTTTTTCTAAAAATCTGTGTGTCTAGGATTAAAACTCTTCACAGATTCATACATCACAAGTGAACAAGTACTTTATTTTATAAAATTAAAATATATATGTATATATTATTGTAAATTTTGGAGATGGCGTCATCCATTGGTGATGGGGATGATTAGCCAATTTTTTAGCCTTTTACCATCTACATGATATTCTTAATATAGGTACATACAAAATTGGTAACAGTCAGTTTAGTAGTTTCGGAGATTAGTTCTAATAAAAAGCGACACAGACGCCAGACAGACAAAGGGAAACGGGAGACCACTTTTGTCGTACTCTAGGGCTCATGAAACGTCGAGAAAACATGAAAATGAGGTCGATTTTATACTTCCTTAGCTTACACCCAGTAAGTAAAAAACTACCGCAACACGCTTTTAATAAGGCAGATTTTTAAATTAAGTCAGGTTGCTGGGGACAGTAATTTTAGATTTACCATGCGTAATGTGAAACGACTGTAACATATGATGAACTTTTTTGAGATCATCCTAAAAATTGTCGTCATCAATTTTTTGAAAGGGATAACTATTAAACTGTCACTTCCATTAAAAAAAAAAAAACGTGGAAATTTGTAATATCTTCAAATAATTTTGTATATTTCTTTTATTATATTGGCTAACAGTTTTCACTAATCTATACCTTCAGTAGAGTCAGAACACTCGATATCTTTAGCTTATTTTTTAATGGGTGCGACTATGTTTTTTTACATTGTTAGTTTTTTTTTTTTTTAATAATACTGTTGTAGAACTACAAGACTATTGCATACTTTTATAACAACTGTAGTCTGTCTGTAAATAGTAAGCTAATATCGTTAGCGTCAAGGTACAACCAAGAGTACTTGCTAGTCTTGTGACAAATCAGAGTTGATTGTTTCATAAATGTTAGGTGCCTTCTCATGGTGATCTTTAATTACAGATAAGATTGTCATCAAATGCGGGAAAGGATTAAGTTTTTACATTTTATTATTAGGACTAATTCTGTGTATATTTAATGCTCTGCTGTGATATAAACAGAAAATACTATAAGACAAATTTTTAAAACGTGAAAAAGCCCTTAAAAGTAGTTCCTAAACTTTTCTCCGTCGTCTCTATCTTCTACATTTCGTCCAGCCAAGTGACTTATTTCAAACTTTTTCCTTGTTTCAGATACAAGACGAAACGTGCCCAGCACGAAAAGGGCATGCACGACCAACAAAACAACCCCCTGCCTTCGCCCCGCCGTGTCGCCGTCCCCGTCCTCGTAAGGGACGGCAAGCCTTGCCTCAGTGGTGGCCCCAAGCACGCCGATCCTGGATCGCTGCAGGTCCCCGGGGCGCCAATGATGATGGGCGCCCACGGGCCCCTCATGTACGGCCAGCCTCGTGTGTGGTGGTGATCTCGTTCCTGTAGCCAAATTCCGTTAAAATCCGAAAAACCAAAAATTTGAAAAAATTCAGTGTTGCTAAGCAATGAAATCAGTGCGAACGTTCATACACAGATAAGATACTTAATTATCAACCGTTGTGATCTAGTAAATCGAATGAGGACACGTTGGAATATGATCCGATTGTATTTTTGTCAAGGTTGATGGCGCGACTTGCGTCGTTCCTAAAGTCCGTTTATTCAGCTTGGTCGGCTGCGAGAACGTTTTTTCAAAATTTCGAAAATCCTGTTTGACAGTTGTTTACCGGTGAGGTATGTTTTACACGGTTCAGTCTTAGAAATCCGTGATTGTTAATAATTTTGTAATGTATTTAAAGGCAAAAGCGTTAGAAATCGATAAAAATTCAAATTACAATCGAATTGTTGAATTTTTGTCAGCCGACAAGGCTAAATAGATGGACTTGAAGCAAAGCAGGGCTGAGTTCGCAATGGTTTATGTTCGTCGTTGTATTTAAAACATTGTAAATTGTATATGTGTAAATAGACTTGTAGACTTGTGTACAGTAGGTTAGAATGGTTGAATTCAGTGGCCGATGTCATAGTCTAATTCTAGTCTGCATTCTGTTTGTGGACGTTAAGTACTTAAGCTGATTTTCAACTGTACAAATTAATTTATTAAATCCAATAAAAGACATTCCACCATTGAATAAGTGTTTTCAGTTCCCCTATTCGATTTTACTGCTTTTTGATCACTCGATTCAGAAGTGAAAATCTTAAGCAGCCACAAATTTTGTTAGTGACTTAGATAAAATCTTGAGAGTTTCAATCCTCTAAAAAGTGTCATCCAGATTTCATGAATTCGTGTTAATCACACTCGGTCGCGTGATTTCCTACTTCGCTGCTGATGTTCAGAAGAAAATGTTCGTTCATTAAATGATCGAAATTTGTGAAGTAAGCATTTGAGATTTTAATTTCGAGATCGATCCATATCAGATAAATAAAATACAATTTAAAATTATTGAACTATAAAATTTCGTTATACGTTTAAGTAGCGTTGGGTGATTAAAATTTTCATAATGTTAAAATTTTAGGATAAAGTCTATATGTATTGTTCGGTCAAAGATCCATCAACACCAGACTTATTATTCCCTGAAATACACCTCGTAACGCAAATTTTGTTATCACTTATCAACGTTTAAAATTTTGTATCGGAATGTTAACTTTTGAAATAAGAAAGTAAATTTATTTTATTAAAAAAAAGTCTTTTCATAACGGTTAGGTATACGAAATTGTATTCGTTATCAACGTGTTAATAAAAAACTAGCTCACATGGGTGTATTTGTATTGTATTCCCAGCTTAAAGTAGTTTTTATGACAAGATAATGAACATTATCACCTCATTATTACCCCATGCGGGGGTTCGACCATACTGTCCGCAAACCGGTGTTGTCGGTGATCTGTACAGGTCCGGCATTGGCCGAATGCGTTGCACCGCTTTGAAATTACTATACTTAGTGGAAAAGTTTTCTAATATGAATAAAAAGAAAAGAAAATCAATGTTTTAATTGATACACAAGTTTTTAAAATTTGAACAATTTTTGATATATATAGGTACAGAATTAGACGACGGACAACATGAGTTGAATAACAAAATACGGCCCTGCAAGAAACCGACCACTTTCTTATTTATGGCTAGGGATTTACTCCATTGTCCCAATCATCAACTTCGACACAATGGATCTATCATAAAAATCACTTTAAACTGGGAATACAATACTTCTTGAATATAAGGTAAGAAAGTTTCTTGCAAACGGCTGCCTTCATGTTTTCTGGACGTTTCATGATCCCTAGAGTACGAAAAAAATACCTCCTTCATCTGCCGGTATGTATATTTTTGGAATATCGCGTAGAAAGTAAAACGCTAACCAAAATTTGTCCAATAATTTGATCACATCACCTCAAAATTTCGCGTAGGAAATGCTATTTAAACTTTATAAAATTACATACTCTTGTACTTGTTTATGAGTTTCTTGATTTTATATTATTACTAAAATTCGCAAAATCAAATTTTATCATTTTTCCAAGAAACTGTGTTTGTTAGACTGTGCTTCAGGGTTCTGTTTAAATAAGTATTTTAATAAGATCCACCAGATAAATGGCTTTTATCATATTTTTTCGACGTTTCATAACCGCTCGAGTACAAAAAAATAGGTCACCCGTTTCCGTTTGTGCCTATTGTCTGTTGTCTACCTCCGTCGATTTTTATTAGACATATGATCTCTGAAACTATTAGATCGATTAATTATTGTTAAGTTTAATATGTATGTTAGGAATATTATTATATTAGATGACAGAACACTGACCAAAATTTGTACTCGTGGTTTATGAATCTGGGTTGATTTTTATTGTGGCCAATTGTCGGAAGTTTGCTATGCCCGTGAGTATTCGAATCTCATCCTTGTCGAATGTTTTTTTTTTACATTGTGACTAGTATTATCTATATTTTTGACTTTTAGGGGTTATCATGAAATAAATAAAATTTAGCAAAGTCAAATTTCATAATTTTTTGAAAAAACTGGATTCGTTCAATTGTTTTTAAGGTTCTGTCTAAATAACTTTAGATCACAGTTTTCATTATTATAGGGGTTCCTATAAAATAAAGAAAATGTAAAATGAAATTTAATAACAATTTTTGGAAAAAAATGGATTCCTTCGATTGTATTTAAGGGACGATGAAAACAACACATTTTATCATTTATCACTTATCAGTGTTTCGATTTGCAAAGAGTAAGGTTACGCTGTGGATACTTTAACCAAGGCAACGACCATGCGAGCTGACCAATCAGAAGCGAGTTTTCAAGAGCGTTTTAAAATATCATACCGAAAAAATTGGTCAAAGTTTATTTCGACAGAACTTCCCTCGCTCGTGAAGTACAAGTCCAATAAATCCCGCTTCTCTGAAAAATTGTAAAATTAGATTTTACGGATAACAAAATGTATTTAAATTAGGTAAACTCAAATCTTATTCGTATACCACAAGTATAGGAGTTTATTATTGTACTACATTTAAATCATTCTATAATAGAATTCTTTGAAATGACGTTATCAAATTGTTGATGGGAATGATTATCCAAATTTTGGTTCGTATTTAACCATCTACATGATATTTCTAATACACAAACAAAATTTGACAACAATCGGTCCAGCAGTTTCGGACATTACGTGTCTAATAAAAATAGATATAGACACCCGACAGACAGACAGACAGACAAACAGACGGAAACGGGAGACTATATTTTTCGTAATGAAATATTGAGAAAACATAAAAGTGCCCATTCGTTCACTGGACTCGATTCCTTAGCTTACGCTTGGAAAGTAAAGAGAAAACATATAAATACAACTAATAACTGGAATCTCAAATAGACGTAATACGGATAAAACGAAAACAGGAAGAAACACACGGAATGTATAAAAAAAAAAAAACGAAAAACAAAAATACTACCTTATATATTCCGGTAAGAAAGTCCAAAAAATGATGTTATCAGATAGGAGAAAACATTCTGTCAAGTTATTGGTAGGTGCTGACATTGATAACATAGATAATATCCCAACAACGAAAAGAAAACAAAAACAAGGAAAATTCGGGCAGAATTAAAAAATACAAATACTTTCTTCGCACGTAGCAACCAAAATGAAAAAATTAGGCGAAGAGCAGAACTTTCCTCGCCCCTGAAGTACAGTTGTGTTGAGAACTTTGAAAATTTAATTTTGGAATTTTTTTATGAACACCCTGTAAGTTAATATAAAGATATGTACCTAATGTTAAAGTAAATGTAAAGAAGGCTGCTATGCACATGTCTCAAATGAGTTTTTGCTTTATAAAATTTTGTGATGACGTCATCAACATTTTTGCAAGGACACATCACATTGGATTTGTGCAGTATAATAATAATAATAATAACAGTATTGTATTCCCAAATTTTCGGAAAAATTTAAACGAGAGCTGTTATTCAGCAATACAAGAGCCGCTTTGGACTATAACTAGGAATACAAAAAATATGAAATTCGTTTCACTAGAAATAAAAAAAATATATAAAAATAAGACTGGAAGCAGGATGCGTGAAAGAAAAAAGACGATAGAAATGAAGCCAAGAGGAAGAGTGGTGTATATGGAGAAAAATTAACGTAGTCAGATACTTGCTACAATATACCACGCGAATTTAGAAAGAGTTCTTAAAATAACAAGAACAATTTACACAATAGAATATATTGTGGTTTGGGAAGCTGTGATTCCATTAAGTTTTTCACAGATAAGTCGTATTTCAAGCCATACTTATGATATTTATACATTTTTACAATCAAACGAATTTATTAATAACAGTGTGATGCTTCATGGTCGTTTGAGATATCAGATGGATTTAATCGCACTAAAACTTGAAGCTATTATATAAAATTCCGCTTAAGTATTACACAAATCTGTTTTAGGACTTATCACGTGACACATATTTACTATTTACTCTGGCACCGCGATAGAGTTTATTAATTTTTTGCTAATACAGTACCAGTAAATGATTTTACCGCTTTCTGTATATTAAATGCCTGTTTACATTTATAAAAATTTGCTGGTAGGAAAGCCATAACCGTATCCTGTATGTAAAATATATAGAACCTATCGAAACGTCAACTGTCAACATTTGTCAAGCAATGAATGTGAAAAGCAATAATGTAAATAACTTTACCAGTTTTATTTAAACTGTTTAATGCTTGATTGGCTGCATTTTTAACATTTTCGGGCAATACGTCACCTAAATCCATCATTTTTTTAATTCTGTTCACAACATTTTTTTGAGTAAACAATGAGACCGAAATATATCATACAAACGTGATCAAACAAAATTATTTTTTTTAAATTAATTTTTGGAATATTGGATTAAAACCGAGAAAATCTTGAACACACCACGGATGTAAACGGTGCCTTAACAGCTTTAGCCATCTTAAAATCTTCGCTAATGCTCGGATTTAAAACGGACGGCTGGGGCGATTATGGCACTCTTTACATCCTAGGTATGTTAATAGCGCTTACGAAGCTAATATTTCGTCGATTTTTGGTCAAGTATTCTTATATAAATATACAAATTTCCCAAAATTAGTGACACTTATTTTAACTTCCCGAGCGTAAGCTAAGAAAGTATTGTAATCGAGTCCATCAGCCGACTGGGTATTTTCCCATTTTTTCGAGGTGTCTTGATTCCTAGAGGACAAAAACATTGATCTCCCGTTTCCGTCTGTCTGTTTCTCTGTCGGTCCGTCTGCCGTCTGTCAATTTTTGTTAGACAGAAAATTTTCCGAAACTACGGCACCGATTGTGATAAACCAACCATAAACCAACGTCTAAATTTTGTGCTAAAATACATAGTTAATATGATATTAACCCAATTACGACTTAGACCAGATCCGAAGAAGCAGCACAATTTTGGTTTTTGTAGTAGAGAAAGATATTTAGTGGTCGCTTTTACAGTATGTAATACTATAATTTCTGATAGTTTAGTTTTTTCTAAATTCTATGTAACTATCTTTTCTAGATTTTCAGAATAAACATTAAATTAATTATCTATCTATCAAGTGAAGTAAATATCGGTTAACATTATTCATATTGGGATTAATTAATAAATTATTGTTTTTGCATATGGTTAACACTAATGGATTATTT